GTACAGGTTATACAGTAGGCAGGCTCCTGTTTATAGTACAGGTTATACGGTAGGCAGGCTCCTGTTTATAGTACAGGTTATACAGTAGGCAGGGTCCTGTTTATAGTACAGGTTATACAGTAGACAGGGTCCTGTTTATAGTACAGGTTATACTGTAGACAGGTTCCTGTTTATAGTACAGGTTATACAGTAGACAGGGTCCTGTTTATAGTACAGGTTATACAGTAGACAGGTTCCTGTTTATAGTACAGGTTATACAGTAGACAGGTTCCTGTTTATAGTACAGGTTATACTGTAGACAGATTCCTGTTTATAGTACAGGTTATACTGTAGACAGGTACCTGTTTATAGTACAGGTCATATAGTAGACAGGATCCTGTTTATATTACAGGTCATACAGTAGACAGGTTCCTGTTTATAGTACAGGTTATAAAGTAGGCAGGATCCTGTTTATAGTACAGGTTTATAGACAGTAGTACAGGTTATACAGTAGACAGGATACTGATTCCTGTTTATAGTACAGGTTATACAGTTGACAGATTCCTGTTTATAGTACAGGTTATACAGTAGACAGGTTCCTGTTTATAGTACAGGTTATACTGTAGACAGATTCCTGTTTATAGTACAGGTTATACTGTAGACAGATTCCTGTTTATAGTACAGGTTATACTGTAGACAGGTTCCTGTTTATAGTACAGGTTATACAGTAGACAGGTTCCTGTTTATAGTACAGGTTATACAGTAGACAGGTTCCTGTTTATAGTACAGGTTATACTGTAGACATGTTCCTGTTTATAGTACAGGTTATACTGTAGACAGGTTCCTGTTTATAGTACAGGTTATACAGTAGACAGGTTCCTGTTTATAGTACAGGTTATACAGTAGACAGGTTCCTGTTTATAGTACAGGTTATACAGTAGACAGGTTCCTGTTTATAGTACAGGTTATACTGTAGACAGATTCCTGTTTATAGTACAGGTTATACAGTAGACAGATTCCTGTTTATAGTACAGGGTATGTTCCTGTTTATAGTACAGGTTATACAGTAGACAGATTCCTGTTTATAGTACAGGTTATACTGTAGACAGGTTCCTGTTTATAGTACAGGTTATACTGTAGACAGGTACCTGTTTATAGTACAGGTCATACAGTAGACAGGGTCCTGTTTATAGTACAGGTTATACTGTAGACAGGTTCCTGTTTATAGTACAGGTTATACAGTAGACAGGGTCCTGTTTATAGTACAGGTTATACAGTAGACAGGTTCCTGTTTATAGTACAGGTTATACAGTAGACAGATTCCTGTTTATAGTACAGGTTATACAGTAGACAGGGTCCTGTTTATAGTACAGGTTATACTGTAGACAGGTACCTGTTTATAGTACAGGTCATACAGTAGACAGGGTCCTGTTTATAGTACAGGTTATACAGTAGACAGGTTCCTGTATATAGTACAGGTTATACAGGTTCCTGTAGACAGGGGTTCCTGTTTATAGTACAGGTTCCTGTTTATAGTACAGGTTATACTGTAGACATGTTCCTGTTTATAGTACAGGTTATACTGTAGACAGATTCCTGTTTATATTACAGGTCATACAGTAGACAGGTTCCTGTTTATAGTAGGCCTACACGTCTTACAGTAGACAGGTTCCTGTTTATAGTACAGGTCATACAGTAGACAGGCACCTGTTTATAGTACATGTTATACAGTAGACAGGTACCTGTTTATAGTACAGGTTATACAGTAGACAGGTTCCTGTTTATAGTACAGGTTATACTGTAGACAGGTTCCTGTTTATAGTACAGGTTATACAGTAGACAGGTTCCTGTTTATAGTACAGGTTATACAGTAGACAGATTCCTGTTTATAGTACAGGTTATACAGTAGACAGGTTCCTGTTTATAGCACAGGTTATACAGAGGTCCTGTTTATAGTACAGGTTATACAGTAGACAGGTTCCTGTATATAGTACAGGTTATACAGTAGACAGGGTCCGGTTTATAGTACAGGATATACTGTAGACAGGTACCTGTTTATAGTACAGGTCATACAGTAGACAGGTTCCTGTTTATAGTACAGGTTATACTGTAGACAGGTTCCTGTTTATAGTACAGGTTATACAGTAGACAGGTTCCTGTTTATAGTACAGGTTATACAGTAGACAGATTCCTGTTTATAGTACAGGTTATACAGTAGACAGGTACCTGTTTATAGTACAGGTTATACAGTAGACAGGTTCCTGTTTATAGTACAGGTTATACAGTAGACAGGTTCCTGTTTATAGTACAGGTTATACAGTAGACAGATTCCTGTTTATAGTACAGGTTATACAGTAGACAGATTCCTGTTTATAGTACAGGTTATACAGTACTAAATCTGAATTATAAATGTTTGAATAAAAAATCAACAATGTTTCCTCTTTCAAATGTGTATTCTTTTCAACACAATATGATTTTAAATCACAATTAAGAATAAATTACTATTATTGTTGTTTCTAACAAAAATTACACAAAGAATTCATCACATTAATTTGGTGTATATCATACAGCTGACATAGTTCTCCCTAAGCCAAGATAATGTTGGAAGATGCAAGGACATGAAGGTCTCTTACAGAAGTTATACATTGACCTGTCCTGTTGTACAATTATATTTGTGGAGAGATATTTTAATTTGTCAGTTCAATAAATATTACTTTGTGAGATATACATGTAGACATATAGACAAGCACCATTAACATTAAATTACATATTTTGGTGATAATCTTATTTTAGCATTTAATCATGCTGAAAGTATTGCAGCACTGAATAACTTTTTTGTTTTAATCACAAGTTATCTTCAAATATATTTATACAGATGGTTGATATCAACATGAGAATGTAGTTTTGTTCCTATGTACTGGTAATATTTGAGCTTCAAGAAAAATCAACCGACTTTTTGATATTTACCTGTATTTTCTCCTAAGTTAACATATAAGTATATGTAGATGCAACAAAATGTACTACAGGTGGGAGAGGCATTATGTGACAATCTGTAACCCCAGTTAACTGTGGGCGCTTGTATGCCCCAATTTTGCATGGTGGTCTTGTTTTTACTCTCACCTACAACAGTCAAAGCTTCCGACAGTAATCACACATAATATTTCATAACTGATATTTAAGGATATTTTCTACTAATGTCTTTATTAAGATTTGATAATATAATGGCATTTTGATAAATGACCATTTCAATAGATCTATGTGTTGGTTTATTTACTGACTTCTGGACAAGCTTGCAATTTGACTGATAAGGCAGAAACAAGCAGCTGAACATAAATGATATTTTTTAATTAAAGACAATCCTTATTTTCTAATTGTTTATCCTGGTCAGCTTTATGTAACATTGTTCAAAACTAAACTTTCCGCAAAAACCAGAGAATTAAATTAAGAAAATATGGTAGATATTTTACAGCTTATACATATGTACTTCATAATCCTCTTTTTATGATGATGGAACTTCTAGATCATACCAAGATCATTTACATATTTTTGTTGATAGTGTTAGGATATGGTACAGAGAGGCTTTAAGTCTGTTTGTATGTGAGTTTATTGGCTGCATAAGTCATGTATCAAAAAGATAGATTCTGACATGTATGTATAAACATCAAATATAAAATTACATTGTGAAAAATGATATATACATCGTAACATTAAACAGTAGCTAGATCTGTGGGGATTGGGGAATTAGAAAAATATATTTTACAAATATGTGACATCTGAGGGAATCAGGATCCTGTGATATTATAAGAAAACAGTAACAAGGTCAGAATCCTGTGAATTTATGGAAAAATACATGGATCCAGATATTGACTGCAAGGTAAGGACATAGTGATAAGTCAGGAACTTGTGAACGATGAATATACTGTAGTAGTATGTTCAGAATTTAATTGCACAAAGATTATAAGAACAAGGAAATATACAGTCAGTCTGCAGCTAGTACAATGACAAAGTAATTGTTCTTTGGTGATCATAAAATCAGATGATCAGAATTTTTTTTTATGAAAACAATGAGGGTGATGTCAGAACCTGTATGATATAGAACCGGAAGTGGTTGCGGAAGACTTACATGTGCACAAAATATACTGAACATTGTATTAAATATACATAACATAAGCTGGAAATGTGGGAAAGGCTAACACTTCATCAGTGTTGTTTATAATCCAGATTACAGGATTTGTGGACAACATATAACATGGGGGTGGCGTACTTGGTGCATATAACGGACCAGAGACGTATCATTATCATGTATCTGCATTATAGATGTAGAACAGATAAGGCACAGTGTTAAAGACTTATGTTAAAAACACTAAATTGTGACAAATGCTATATGAAACATCAAAAGATTGGCAAGAAGGAAATGGTTAAAAAAATAATTCAAATACAAAACACAAAATGGACATTAATTACTAAAATATCAAATAAACAATGTATGTAATTTGTATATAAAACTGTGTGTAGTATATATATATACATTATGTACAAGTACTTATACTCTGTAGAAATGTCATCTTTAAAAAGGACTATCCCATTTTCTGATTATTGATATTCATACAGGATAAAGGGAGGTAAATCATCCCTGTTATTTTTGCCTTGTTAACATAATCTTTTCTAATTGCAACTTTGTCAAAAATTTTTTAAAAAAGCTGAATACATAGTTTTTCATACTACAGTTTAGTAAAGTTACTGAAATATCAATACATACATTGGTTGGTCAATTACTTTAAAAAATGTAAAATAAGTGTCTTTCATATCTTCAAATTTTCATGGATCTTAAAAAATTGTAAACAAACTGAATAAGAAAAGCATCACACGGATTAATTAACCATTTTGTACCATAAAAGCATTACCCTTTTTGGAAATTAATGATGTTTCATATATGGTAATGACATGATCAATTCACAAATTTAAATAAATATCTTCATAAAATATCTCACATATACATACACATATATATACATAATATAGATACCACAAAATAAACATACTTACTATTCATGGGCAGGTGTATGTGAAAATTCTAGGTTAATATGATTTTATCATCATACATTTTGGCTATGATAATTTTTCATACATTTATTGTACACTGTCAATAAATTCAGTACCAAGAGATTGAGGTACAAATGCTGATGATAAGCTATTACCCATTGTATACCCTTATTTATCTACTCTTAAAAAATATACACACAAGATGATAATGTGATGAAAACTCTGGATTTTTTTCCCTTGATTAATATATGAAAAGAAAATAGATAGCGACATTCTATTTTTTCCTTGACTAAACAAAAAGCATCTAAATTTTCTTTCTGACTTAACACAGAATGAAAAACCAACAGAAACAATGAAGAACAGAAAGCCAAGAAAATGCAAGTGCAAAACATATACCATCAACAGTAATGACATCATTGTCACCCTTGTAAAATAACCACAATATAAATCACTGGGCTAAAGAGATGTTCTCTTTAATTCAAATGGATGCGCATAGAACTAGTAAACCAGAGGTGCTGGGTTCAATTGTAGCAGGGATATTCAAATGAATTATGACATCCGTTTCATGAAATTTCAAATTTAATACAAAATCAGTGGTTTTTATCTTCCATATTAACAGCACTTTTCCAATTTATCATATCCCATGAAAAGAATTGTGAAAATTTAACACAGCGAGTAAAACATTTGCCATCAAAGGGAGATAATAATGCCGATTATAAATTTTCTAGAGTGTTCAACAGGAACATATATACAGCTATCCTGATCTATGGCAATAAAACAACTAGTGATATTTTCGGTGTATTTGTTATATTATGAAACTGGAGCTTTTTATATTAGCTTGGATATTGAGCACCTACAAATATATATATACATTGTTACATCCTGGACTAAAATCCTCACTAACATCACACTTGAATGGTTATACGTATCACAGTCTGGGTTAACTGACTAAGAATTCACTTGTTCCTTGCTACTGATATCTTGAAATAGTGGCAGCTAAACTGTGCATGCTTATTTATTTATCTTATATCATTTCATTCCTATTGTAATTATAGTTGTCTGTAACCACAGGATCTACAATCTGTTGTTTATCACTGACAAATGGTAGCATTACATTGACAATAGGAGTCACGTTTATCGCATGTCTACCCATGACATCAAGTCCATTAGTAACCTCGCAGGACTACTAGAGATTGATGATCATATTCAATTTGTGATTTGGTTGTTAGGAGCCCATCGCTAAGCTGCACCATAAATGTTCCCCTGATTGTCAAGGGCAACTGTCATTGGGGAAGTTATTCAATGACTGCAGACTCCACATTCTGCATTATGGAGTCTACTGCCCTGTAACTGTATGGGGACATTATTATTATTTCTACTTGCGCCTTGGGCGCCGTGGTCCCCTGTCACTGTAACCTCCTGGGACTCCTGGAATAACTCCCCCATCCTCGTCATAACCAAGCTTTCTACGTAATTTAACAATCTCTTGTTTGTACCTGAAGGATGAAAATAAAAAGAAAAGCAAATAGCATTTCTAAAGGAAGTACATGAGAATGAAAGAAAGAGAATGGCATGTCTGCCAGCTGTTCAATAAGAGGAGCTCAGAGTTGTTTTATCATATATGGACTAAAACTCCATATTGATATTGTACTTGTCCTAAGAAGGGCATCAATAACATCTGACTCAGGATAATAACAGAACAATGATAGAGGATTTGTAGGCGTTCCTCGTGAGACTTCAATATATGTGAGTGGGTTACCACAAAATTTATCACAGAACTGTAGTAGATATGGGTAGGCTTATTACTATACATGGGCTTGTTGCTGAATAAGAAGGTCACTCCAAGAACTGATCACTAGGTTTTATTGCCTTTCTTGGAAAACTTTACTGAAGCAATAGTATACTCCACTGTTTTCTATGTAAAACCTTCTTTGAGAAAAAACTACCACGAAGCAATACATTTATTTTTTTTGTTTTTTTGGTTTTTTTTGCCATTTATTTTGAAGCTGATCTTCTCCTAAAGTATACATACGTATACAAGTGAGGCAAAAAAGATGTGGCTCACCTGACCAGATGTTGTTCGATGTAATCTTGACTTTCTCGTAACTGTTCCTTTAGGGAAGTGTTTTCACTTATAAGTCGTGCTCTCTCCTCTTCCAACTGTTGTTGAGTGTTCAGTGTGTACTCCCTCAGCTGTTTCCTCAGCATAGACCAAGATTCAGCCGGCATGTCACTAACTCTGTAAAACAGTTAACCATAATCAAATTGAACAAAAGCAGCGCATAAATGTTACCACATATGATAGGGATATCCTGATGTCCGCTAATACATAAAAAAAAATCTACCTAATTCACAGGTCAGCTGCATTACTTCTGTGACATCACAATTTGATAAGACATCTTTTGTGTCTTTACAATTTACAAGAAGAGAAAAAAAAGAGTATTTTGCTTTTATTTACTGTAGTCATATCAGCAACACTCTATATCCCATCATGTATGTCATATATATCAGCAACACTCTATATCCCATCATGTATGTCATATATATCAGCAACACTCTACATCCCATCATGTATGTCATATATATCAGCAACACTCTATATCCCATCATGTATGCAACACTCTATATCCCATCATGTATGTCATATATATCAGCAACACTCTACATCCCATCATGTATGTCATATATATCCCATCATGTATGTCATATATATCATATATATCATCAATGTCATATATATATCCCATCATGTATGTCATATATATCAGCAACACTCTATATCCCATCATGTATGTCATATATATCAGCAATACTCTATATCCCATCATGTATGTCATATATATCAGCAACACTCTACATCCCATCATGTATGTCATATATATCAGCAACACTCTACATCCCATCATGTATGTCATATATATCAGCAACACTCTACATCCCATCATGTATGTCATATATATCGGCAATACTCTATATCCCATCATGTATGTCATATATATCCCATCATCTATATCCCATCATGTATCATATATATCAGTCATATATACACTCTACATCCCATCATGTATGTCATATATATCAGCAACACTCTACATCCCATCATGTATGTCATACATATCAGCAATACTCTATATCCCATCATGTATGTCATATATATCAGTAATACTCTATATCCCATCATGTATGTCATATATATCAGTAATACTCTACATCCCATCATGTATGTCATATATATCAGCAACACTCTACATCCCATCATGTATGTCATATATATCAGTAACATACTCTACATCAGTAATACTCTATATCCCATCATGTATGTCATACATATCAGCAATACTCTACATCCCATCATGTATGTCATATATATCAGTAATACTCTATATCCCATCATGTATGTCATACATATCAGCAATACTCTATATCCCATCATGTATGTCATACATATCAGCAATACTCTACATCCCATCATGTATGTCATACATATCAGTAATACTCTACATCCCATCATGTATGTCATACATATCAGTAATACTCTACATCCCATCATGTATGTCATATATATCAGCAATATTCTACATCCCATCATGTATGTCATACATATCAGTAATACTCTACATCCCATCATGTATGTCATACATATCAGCAATACTCTATATCCCATCATGTATGTCATAATATCATGTATGTCATATATATCATCCCATCATGTATGTCATATATATACTCTACATCCCATCATGTATGTCATATATATCAGCAATACTCTATATCCCATCATGTATGTCATATATATCAGCAATACTCTACATCCCATCATGTATGTCATATATATCAGCAACACTCTATATCCCATCATGTATGTCATATATATCAGCAACACTCTACATCCCATCATGTATGTCTACATCCCATCATGTATGTCATATATATCAGCAATTCTCTACATCCCATCATGTATGTCATACATATCAGCAATACTCTACATCCCATCATGTATGTCATATATATCAGCAACACTCTACATCCCATCATGTATGTCATATATATCAGTAATACTCTACATCCCATCATGTGTATGTCATATATATCAGCAATACTCTACATCCCATCATGTATGTCATATATATCAGCAACACTCTACATCCCATCATGTATGTCATATATATCAGCAACACTCTACATCCCATCATGTATGTCATATATATCAGTAATACTCTACATCCCATCATGTATGTCATATATATCAGCAATACTCTACATCCCATCATGTATGTCATATATATCAGCAATACTCTACATCCCATCATGTATGTCATATATATCAGTAATACTCTACATCCCATCATGTATGTCATACATATCAGTAATACTCTACATCCCATCATGTATGTCATACATATCAGCAATACTCTACATCCCATCATGTATGTCATATATATCAGTAATACTCTACATCCCATCATGTATGTCATACATATCAGCAATACTCTACATCCCATCATGTATGTCATATATATCAGTAATACTCTACATCCCATCATGTATGTCATACATATCAGTAATACTCTACATCCCATCATGTATGTCATATATATCAGTAATACTCTATATCCCATCATGTATGTCATATATATCAGTAATACTCTACATCCCATCATGTATGTCATATATATCAGCAATACTCTACATCCCATCATGTATGTCATACATATCAGCAATACTCTATATCCCATCATGTATGTCATATATATCAGCAATATTCTATATCCCATCATGTATGTCATATATATCAGCAATACTCTGTATCCCATCATGTATGTCATATATATCAGCAACACTCTACATCCCATCATGTATGTCATATATATCAGTAACACTCTACATCCCATCATGTATGTCATATATATCAGCAATACTCTACATCCCACCATGTATGTCATATATATCAGCAATACTCTACATCCCATCATGTATGTCATATATATCAGCAATACTCTACATCCCATCATGTATGTCATATATATCAGTAATACTCTATATCCCATCATGTATGTCATACATATCAGCAATATTCTATATCCCATCATGTATGTCATATATATCAGCAATATTCTGTATCCCATCATGTATGTCATATATATCAGCAACTCTACATCCCATCATGTATGTCATATATATCAGTAATACTCTATATCCCATCATGTATGTCATATATATCAGTAATACTCTACATCCCATCATGTATGTCATACATATCAGTAATACTCTACATCCCATCATGTGTGTCATATATATCAGCAATACTCTACATCCCATCATGTATGTCATATATATCAGCAATATTCTACATCCCATCATGTATGTCATACATATCAGTAATACTCTACATCCCATCATGTATGTCATACATATCAGCAAATATCAGAAATACTCTACATCCCATCATGTATGTCATATATATCAGTAATACTCTACATCCCATCATGTATGTCATATATATCAGCAATACTCTACATCCCATCATGTGTGTCATATATATCAGCAACACTCTACATCCCATCATGTATGTCATATATATCAGTAATACTCTACATCCCATCATATATGTATGTCATATATATCATATATATCATGTATGTCATATATATCAGTAATACTCTACATCCCATCATGTATGTCATATATATCAGCAATATTCTACATCCCACCATGTATGTCATATATATCAGCAATATTCTACATCCCACCATGTATGTCATATATATCAGTAATACTCTACATCCCATCATGTATGTCATATATATCAGCAATATTCTACATATATATCCCATCATATATGTCATATATATCATGTATGTCATATATATCAATACTCTACATCCCATCATGTCATATATATGTCATATATATCAGCAATATTCTACATCCCACCATGTATGTCATATATATCAGTAATACCCTATATCCCATCATGTATGTCATATATATCAGTAATACTCTACATCCCATCATGTATGTCATACATATCAGTAATACTCTACATCCCATCATGTATGTCATACATATCAGTAATACTCTACATCCCATCATGTGTGTCATATATATCAGCAATACTCTACATCCCATCATGTGTGTCATATATATCAGCAATATTCTACATATCCCATCATGTGTCATATACATCCCATCATGTGTGTCATATATATCAGTAATATTCTACATCCCATCATGTGTGTCATATATATCAGCAATATTCTACATCCCATCATGTATGTCATATATATCAGCAACACTCTACATCCTATCATGTATGTCATATATATCAGTAATACTCTACATCCCATCATGTATGTCATATATATCAGCAATATTCTACATCCCACCATGTATGTCATATATATCAGCAATATTCTACATCCCACCATGTATGTCATATATATCAGCAATATTCTACATCCCATCATGTGTGTCATATATATCAGTAATATTCTACATCCCATCATGTGTGTCATATATATCAGCAATATTCTACATCCCATCATGTATGTCATATATATCAGCAATATTCTACATCCCATCATGTGTGTCATATATATCAGTAATATTCTACATCCCACCATGTATGTCATATATATCAGCAATATTCTACATCCCACCATGTATGTCATATATATCAGCAATATTCTACATCCCATCATGTGTGTCATATATATCAGTAATATTCTATATCCAATAAAACTTTGATGCCAGGAAATAACTATCGCTCACGGAAAAAGGGAAAAGCTTTGATATTGTTTCTGCTAGCCTTGTTGAATTCTACAGAATGGAAATATAAGCCCTTTATTTACCTTCCTGGATCAGGGTCGCCTCCAAACTGAAATAGATAAACATATACATGTTTGTGTTTTGCTTTATTTATCATCAAAACTTGATTACCGTAAAATCATTAATTTTCATAGAAACTTGTTTTTTGTTTGATTTGTGGAGATTCTAACTCCACAAACTTATATGCCAATGAAATGATAAACAGTTTATCACAAAACAGCATATTTTTGAAAACAAGGAGTCCCCATGAAAATACATAGTGTATGATTTTACAGTATACATATTTCTTTGCAACATTTTGAAACTAATAACATAAACAGTAAAAAAATATTGACAATTGTATATGCAGAAAAAATCTCTATGCAAACGTAACAGAACAGGGAAAACATATATTTCTGTTGAGAGCCCCAACCTGGAATCGAACCCAAGTCTCCAGCATGATAATCAACTAGATCTACCCATTGAACCAAAGAAGATTGCACTATCAGCTGAGTGACAGAGATATCTTTACAATATATTTATCACTATATCACTATATAAAAGCCACACAGACACACTCCTTTTACACAATACTGCTAAAAGATTTGACAAGTGTATTGACCACTTTTTTTAAAAAAAAATATTGAAAATGTTGACCATGTCTATCTATACATAAACTTGTACCTACCTTGGTTTTTAGATTAGATGCATTCTGTTTTGTTTTATTAAGCTCTGTTTTCAATCTTGCTATCTCCCTAAGGTTTGCAGAAGTCATCTCTGAATCAGTCATAGTAATCTCCTGTTCATCTGGACCCATGTCCAAATGATCTATACCTCTCTGTTCACACATAAGACGTAGGTTTCTGAAAATAAAATCATAATTTTGAAGAAAACAAGTTAGGTACAAACTTGTAACAAAATGGGAAAATAAAGTGAGCTGATGTACCCATGAGATATCTTGTACACAAGCTCTGAATGGACTGACATGTAGATGGATGCATGTATGCAATGGATGTACAGATGCACAAAGTGATTATTATACACTGGCCTTAAGTAAGTGGTGGTGTTTTGGTTATTCTATCTCATGTTTTACTGTTAAAAAAATGTAAAATTAATAAAGTAAATAATCATGAAGAAGCCCAATATTGCCTACTATGAGTGAAACCAACAGAGATACTGCCTAATAAATGGTAAGAGCCTGCCTCCAGCCTGTTGTGATGGATCCTCCACATCTGAGCTGACACTAATCCATCAATATTTTGCATACCGTCAGGTAACGAGGCAAGAGGCAAACGACACATTCATTCACCATAATAACAGCCACATCATTAGCTCTACTATGGCACTATTTGTAAATTAATTTCATAACAATTGTCAACAAATTATACCAAATTATATCAATCATTCTTGTTAGCCAAGATGGAAGCCTGTATTTAGTTTTACAATGGGAGAAAATGGCATGGACTATCCAGGGAAAACCAATGTGGTCATACAGGTGACCCCATAACTTTTCACGTCAATACAGAAATTTAACTCATGTTGCCTGACCCAATTAGGACTGCTATTTTCTTGTTACATACTAATAATTATACTGCCTGCCGCCCCCCACGCCCACCCCCAAAACCCCCACCCTGTTTTAGCTTACCTGTAATGTATTAATAACTCCTCATACTTATGTATGAGTTGTTTCTGTCTATCACGATACTGTTGTGCTGCCTTACTCAACTGTTCCTCTCGTTCCTTGTGTGACCTTGTAATATCCTTTACCATTTTATCCATGTATTCTCTCATCTGTGTGGCTGAATGACCATCAGGAATACCTTTACCCTTATCCACATATTCCTGGAAGTCAACAAAAGCATTGAAAATTGTAAAAGAATATTTTTTCTTGCAAAAAATCATTTAAACATCAAATTATTCATTTATTTACATCAAGAATGTGTAGAAAGTAATTCTATTTATGGTTGAATACTAGTTTTTGTTATGTATTAGTGAAATTGTTTTATATTTTTTAATGTTGTTTTCACAAGTACAAAAAATGTAATACTCTGTAGATATTTTTTTCCTAAGGAAGGGAAATAATCCTTTGCACGTTAAATGATTAACAGTATGCATTACTATTTACCGAAATATCTTCAACATATTTGATGAGTCGAGACCTGTAGTCCTCGCCTAGATCTTTCACCTTGTGTTGAAGCCGATTGTTCAGCAGCTCGAGCTGTTCCTTCTCTCCTCTCAACACAATCAGAGACTGATGAAAAAAGAAAACAGTCATTATTCCTAAAAACGCTGAACATTTTTTATTTGATACACTTTGCACTTTTATAATGATATTTTAGCTATGACAGTAAAATATGGTTGGCACAAGTTTTATTTCGCTCCTACATCAGATGTGAGACATTTTGACAGACAGTTGATGACTTATCAAGATGCAGGTACCATACAAGACATCTGACAGATGAAACATTATTTTTGCTGCAGTAAGTTCCTATTGGCATTTTCACTAAAATCAAAAGGTGTGGTTGCCCTTATTATCAGAGATGGGTTTATGGGTGAATAGGATTTGAATATGACTCATGTAACCTCGAATCAAATCTGTATGTTCTGGAACCATGCTTGAACATGCTAGACTAAGGCTTCAGAGTCTAACAGGTACAGTGAAAGACCAATAATGATTTCAGGAGATAACAAAGAAAAAGTTGTGTAAGGATTTGATCTGGTTGGGAAATCTAGCGAGGAGGAAATCTTCTATAGAACATCTGATTCCTCAAAAACAGAAAACTGGAAATCTATTAGTAAAAAAGTGTTTTAATTCTCCTATTCCTTCAGAACCTGGGTTACTGACAATCCATTGTACAGTGTACAGTCATTTAGGACAAAAAAAATCAAACAAAAAAAAATTCCTTCAATTCCTTGAACAAGAATTCTCTCGGTTACTAAGGTCTGAAAGAGTAAGTAATAAAGTTTAATTTATATTACCGCATTCATTTCAGCCATTTTCTTCTGCCTGTCTCTTGCTAAATTCCTTGACTCATTCACCTCCTTCTGTAGGGTAGTTCTGTGCAAAAATAAATTCCAGAAAAGGTCAACAGAGAGGTCATTATAATTATGTCTACAAAGGTTAGAGGTCAGTAAAGTCATGTTCCCATGTATGGTATGAGGAGTTGTAGTCTATCTAAGTTACATTGAAAACATTATAAAGTTTTGTGTTGTTAATATACCATAAATTTATTGCAATAAGCTGAGGGGGCCAACATATAACATCTGACACAATAGTATGGAGTGGGCTTATTACAAGACCATGAAAAAACATTTTTCGAATAATTTTATCGCATTACAACAGAAATGGATGTTGTTTTCACCAGACATATGTTAATAGCTAGATAACTACAGTAATACCTACATTTTGGATTCTAACTTCCGATACTCCTCTCCGTGGTCCTGCTTCAATCTCTCCAAGTCTCTGTCGTATCTCTTCTTGTTGTTAAACAACTGATGAAAACACAACATGTACAAGATAACATTCATGTTCAATCTTTTATCAAAACCATAATTCTGAATGGTCAGCAGAAGTATTTAGAGTACAAATAACTCAAGGGAAACAGCATTATTATTTATAGAGATCACAAATGAAATCAAAAATAGACTGAAAAGGGCATATAGTGGTTAATCTTGGTGGTATAATCATTTTATTTAAAACTAGAATCCAGTGTCATTCTCTAAGAACTGAAAATATCTTCTGAATACTGTATTTCATTATATCATTTTCATGTGACAGACATACTTTGTCTTTGAGTTATATAACAATCACAATAATACAGGCTTTCCTTACATTATGTACAGGAGGTAGCACACATTTTATAGGCTTTCCTTACATTATGTACAGGAGGTAGCACATATTTCATAGGCTTTCCTTACATTATGTACAGGAGGTAGCACATATTTACAATGTCAAACTAGAAAATACTTTTTATACAAATGAATGGATGAACTACAAGCCTGATTTTAAGTCAAAAGGCACTGGTCTCACAAATCAGAGTAAGAATTATCCAAGAAAGAATCATTTGGTTACTTTTCACTGCTGTGGATTACACAAAGACATGTCTACAGAATGTAATATTTACCGAGTCCTCCACATTAGCACGATCATTCTGTGTACCAAGGATTTCATCAGTCTGAAACAACAAATTCAGCGATGGTTCATTGTCATTCAACGAAGTAGAAATGTAAAGTACATACCTTAATCACTGATCATGTTGGCACTGACATTTTTAAATTCAATAATCAATTGTCGTAAGAATTCATTTTATTTCAAGTTCAAATTTTATTGAAAAGAATTAAGAAAAAATAGGAAAACTGTTTTGAGTATCTCAAATGAGGAAATTGATTTGAATGTCTGAACTCTAAGGATTATTTTATTTCCAAAGACAGATGAAAGAGGACAGTGTGGTGATGGCTGTTTTTTGACACCAAATAATCTATCATTATTTATTATGCGTTTCTCTACCTGTATGTGTTTTAGATCCAAACACATAACATATCTGCTATAAATACCTCCAAGATTCTATCTGGCATATGTTTAAAAGTACCTTTTCATAATTTATTTTGAGTGACTTAAGATAATATAAAAGATTCAGACCTGTATAGTTATCAACCAAACTTTCTTAATCTATGAACAATGCACACTGCCTCAGGGCAGGGGATTGTCCACTGTAGTGATGGGGAAAATATTAGAGGGAATTAAGTTTTAAAGATAAAAAATTAGTGGTTACATTATTATAATTGCATCTAGACCATCTCTACCTCTCCTTTATAATGCAATCAAACCTGTCTGTAAAGCCACAGCTTTCGGGTTATGATGTCAAACACTTTTTTAACACTTGAACCTCTATGTTAAGGCCACCTGTTTTTAAAGGCCACATTTCCTAACTCCCTGAACTGTACTCATACCACAGTTCAGAATTTGAAAATATAGGTATCACATATTGTTTTTATCAGTGTTATCTCACATATGACTTTGAGTTTTAGTTTTAACTTTGACCTCTTACTCACCCTGACCCTGCCTGAAGAGTTCTTAATGACGAGGGCTTTGACCCTGCTGATTTCAGCATCTGGGTCACCTACACTGCTGTCTCCTCCAGACAAAGTGAGAAGCCTTTTCATCAGGGCTGCCTTGGCGTTGACCAAGTTAAGGACCTCAATACTAAGCTCTTCATTCTTTTTTGTCTGTGAGAAAAATAAAACAGTTGATCAATTTTATCTTTATTCCTCCTAAATTGAATAAAAGAGTTTATGGGTTCCTAAAGTTGACTGCGACTGAACAGCATTGGATACCTGTGGATTTAATACCAAGTATGGGCTTATTGTTTGATCATAATTGACAATATATAAGTCTGTGGATAGACATATGATCATCAAAATATACTGCTTTTCAGTAGAATTATCAACAAACAGTATTTCATTGTCCTACAATAAGCAAACTCCTTGACTTGGAGCAAGGCCCTGGATTTACTGTTAATTTACAAATGAATAATGTTTTTGAAGTTACATAATGGCCAATATCAGTTCCATGATTACCTCTTTTTCATGCTCTCTAACCAAGGCCAGGTAGTTTGTCTTTAAAACAACATATTCATCTGCTAAATCCTTCCTGTCTTTTTCCATCTCCACCACTCTGTCTTTAGCATATCGTGATCCCTTTACAGCTCTATCTCTCTCATTCTCTGCATCAATTACTGCTCTCTCCAACAACAAAATCTGGTGAAAGAGACAAAAGACAAAAAAATTACCACAATAATTAATACAAAATAGCATGTTCTCTTGTATGTGGATGTTTTGGGCATCACACCAGTGAAATTAACTCTAATAAATGATTTCAGAATATGCAGATCCCATGCATTTTAAACAAACACATATGATTCTGTGTCTGTAATTCAGTTTATACTCTATGCCCCACTAATTCATATGACACTCTGTGCCCCACTAATACAGATCACACTCTATGTCCCGCTAATACAGATCACACTCTATGCCCCAGTAATACAGATCACACTCTATGTCCCATTAATACAGATCACACTCTATGCCCCACTAATACAGATCATACTCTATGTCCCACTAATACAGATCACACTCTATGCCCCACTAATACAGATCACACTCTATGTCCCACTAATACAGATCACACTCTATGCCCCACTAATACAGATCACACTCTATGTCCCACTAATACAGATCACACTCTATGCCCCACTAATACAAATCACACTCTATGCCCCAATAATACAGATCACACTCTATGCCCCAGTAATACAGATCACACTCTATGTCCCACTAATACAGATCACACTCTAAGCCCCACTAATACAGATCACACTCTATGTCCCACTAATACAGATCACACTCTATGTCCCACTAATACAGATCACACTCTATGTCCCACTAATACAGATCACACTCTATGTCCCACTAATACAGATCACACTCTATGCCCCACTAATACAGATCACACTATATGCCCCACTAATTCAGAAAACACTTGACAACACTCAATTAACTATGTTTACAGTATCAGCGTTATTCCACAACATTACTTTTGATATCTAACCTTGTTATTGAGCTCAAACTTTGTTGCCTCTGACTCTTCCCTCAGTTTGTTGTTCTCAATCTGCATTTCGACCAGAGATTGGGAAACCTGTGTGAAAACAATAGTTTGGGTAACTATATAGATATAAAAGTGACATAGATGTTCCTTTACTTCCATCATATAGATATTACATGATGGAGCAAAACAAAGAAATTAAGTTCAAAGATTAAGTGCCACAGGATGACCCCGCATGAGTGACTAAAGTTAATGTAGCAATTAAACTCAATGTTTTTTGGAAAAGGCAAACACTTAGACTCACATCGCCCTCCCTAAAATTTAAAACTTCAACTAACCTACAATATAAAAGGGCAAAAACAACAACAACAACAAAAATTATGGGCAAACTGACCACTGTATATTAATTCATATTTTATGGTACAGTATTGATCTTTGTCCTTTGACCTCTGACCCTTGCTTTCTTACCTTAAGTTTCTCTTCCTCTGTCAGGAGCAGTTGCTGAGACAAGTCCGTCTTGGTGGTGGCCATGTTGCCAAACTTATCCTGGACGGAATCATAGCGGTTCCGCAGCCTCTCATTCTCATCCTTCAGTCTCAGCTAATAAATAGACACAAGGTAATACCAGGGTAGTCAAAGGAATTTTACTTTGGTAAAAGTTGTTATTTCAAAAAGTTCAATGTTTTTGTTTCTTATCAAGGAAGGAGAAAAATCACAGAAAACGGACATCTTTTAATCTTTATCAGTAACAGAAACAATAGTCCTTTTTACTTTAAACATTTAGTAGAACTCTAAAAATTGGAAACATTGAAAGAAACACCATATACTGTTCACTGTATGTCACATCCACTTAATGGTATATAAAAAACACTTTCCTTAACTCTGATTTCATAGGAATCAAATTAATTAGATATCAGTGAGACCAGCATAATATCACCTCTAATTGGAACATACCAGATTTGTTTGGTGTCATATGATATACTAAACTAAAGCATGTTTTCTGCACATGTTAATCAAGCATTCTGAGAAAATATACCATCGGCAACATCATTGCTTTCAATATGTGACATCACTATACTTTTCCTTATGGGTTGTGAAATACAGCACTACATATCAAATGTTCCTATGACAGTGCTTTTACTGCACTTTGTAGCAGTCTCAGTGTATATAGAGCAGAACTTCATATTATGCTGTCAATATTTTTCTCACATCAGATTCCAATTCAACGATATGATGAATCTGATGTGAGAAAGAAATGTTGAAAAACTGGTAAAAATTCATCAAAATGATTCGGCAATAAATGAAACAACAGACTAATGGAGTTACATTTTAATGGGTGTAATACTGTTACTTTAAATGTATTCATTAACAAATTACTTAATTGAATATATAGTTTTTTTAACTGTCTTCATCTTGAAATCAAAATGAATATATTTCATAGCCAACAATCAAATCCCCATACTTCTATATGTTGATATATATCAATGATACTCTACATTGTCTGTCTGTAGTTGGCGGATGGTCTCCTGAATGTCATTAAGGTTGGTGATCTTTGACATTGGTGATGGTCCGACACCTCCCTGGTGTTGAAGGTCAAGGATACGGGCTCGGTATTGTGTAATCAAATTCTGAATTTAAAATAAACAAAGTACAAAACCTTATAAATCTGAAAAATGAAAAATGGAACTGGATGTAGAATCAACTAAACTTTAGATTCTGTATCAAATCTGGTATTTTCTTATGTTGACATCAATCTCAAGATATTAACCAAAACTATATCACCCATATACATTTATTTTAAATACTGATCAAGCATAAAATTTGGTTTAACATATTTTTTATGTAAAAAGACATCTTTGTGACATGGAAATTGATTTTTAGAAAAAAAATCAAAATTTTACAGACTTTTTCCATTTTTTTTTTCCTTGAGAGAGACGGCAATGATATTGACTAGAAAATGCCTGCAAGACATGAATAAATACACTTCTTTTCTGATTACTTAATAATTTTCTCTAAAAGTTCAATGTGACATTAACCTTTGTCCCTTAAACCTTCACAAAGTCGTGTCAGGTTATGACATGACAATCACTATCATGAGATGACATGAATTTAGTCCACAATGAAATGTAATTGGATTTAAATGAATATGACTGTATCATCTCATCGCATGGAATGACAGGATCATTAAAATGCGGTAAATTCCTAATGTATTTAGCATACCTGGGCAAAGCTATCATTGATGACAGGAAAGTTTTTCACTTGTGTCACACGAGTACAAAATGTCAGAATAGATGATAGATTTCTTTGGTCTGTATGTGGTTTCAGACATAGAATTGCTCTAGTTTTGAAATTTCCTCCAAGTTCCTCTCTCAGCAGCTGGGTCAGTTTTGAATCACTGTAAGGAAATAGGACATTAATAGGAGTAGTTATGTCTTATCCATCTCCACTTCCCCAACATAACACATATAATTTGATTTTTGAACAACATAAATTTTAGAAAAAAATTCAATAATAATGTAAAATCCTTCATTCTTTCAGCCAGTTATGGTTTTCATGGACCTGATCTGAAGTTACTGGTGTGGTATTGGTAAAGGCTATAGATGAGATGACTTTACCTGTATCTATGATGTGTATAGGTACTTTATAAGGGTGTGTGACCTTACCTGTAGATGATAACACCATCTGAGTAAGGGTTGTGGTAAGTGACTTTACCTATAGTTGATGACACGGTCTGTGTAAGGGTTGTGGGAAAGCCTGGATATGGGATGTGGGTGAGTAACCAGACCTACATTTGATGACAGAGCTTGGGTAAGGGTTGTGGGTGAAGTGACCTTACCTACAGTTGATGACACAGCCTGGGTAAGAGTTGTGGGTGTGTGACCTTACCTATAGTTGATGACACAGCCTGGGTTAGGGTTGTGGGTAAGTTACCTTACCTATAGTTGATGACACGGCCTGGGTAAGGGTTGTGGGTAAGTGACCTTACCTATAGTTGATGACACGGTCTGGGTAAGAGTTGTGGGTAAGTGACCTTACCTATAGTTGATGACACAGCCTGGGTAAGGGTTGTGGGTGAAGTGACCTTACCTATAGTTGATGACACGGTCTGGGTAAGGGTTGTGGGCGAGTGATGTTAATGTTGCATTAAGGGCAATGAGGGCCTTGCTAAGACTAGCCCCTTCACGTTGACGGAGATCTGTTGGATCGTCTGTAAGCTTCTCCAATCCTGGTAACTCAACAATGGTGAAGCGTGACTTGTTGGGCTGTGGATTGTCACCAACACTCTGAAAAATAAATACTCACATGCTCACATTGCAGTGGATAAGACAGAAATCACTTCGCTAAACTCCATCTAACAGCAATTAGACTAAGGATGAAAGTTATCAAAACTACTTGGTTTTTTCTTTTTCCAAATATGATAATGGGAAACAAAAAACTTCAAGTACTTCAAATCTGCATCACTATAATAATAAAATCCTGTGTTCAACTGGTATTTTAATCTACTTTAAAACCCACTTGTTGCTGTAACTTTGAAGCATGAAACATTTTCTACCAAAGTTTCTTTTCAAAATATTGTTTTGTTTTGGTAGGTAGAAATTTTAATTCTGTTAGTGGGTAATTTTCAATGTGTTTCAAATTGTGTATTTGTCTGAAATGAAAAAAAAAACAGTAGACAAACTTGAAATTAAAAGCCAGACTGATGGTTGCCAATCTTTATTGCAGGCAAAGATATAAAAACTTTAAAAAAGCAACTTAAAAAGCTTAAAACTCCAGTAAAATCTATCTAAAATAACATTTTCCCCACTTAAGTGTGAGCACAAATATAAACAAGCATTAAGTCAAATGAAGGCATCCACTCGAATTAAACAAAACTGAATTAAACCTTATTAATCACTGTAAATTCATATCATTCATCAAATCAAAACACAAATCCACATTAATTTTGAAATATTTGGTACATCAATTCAGTCAAGTTAGGTGTCAGATAAAACAGAACAATCAAATTATATAATTTAGTAGATATGAAGATCCAGTCAAACATGAAAAAAAAAAAAAAACCTGAAGAATTCCTAAAAAGAAGTAAATTTAACAGAATCCACCAGCGTTATTCAATAGATGGAAAAATGCCTCATTATCACCAAAAGAAAAAGTTAAACAACATGACAATGATTGGAATACCATGCACCACAGAAAAGTAATACTGTACCAAGGGACTGGTTTTTCTGGGGGCCTGTAAACAGAAATATTAAAAGGGGGTAAATTATGTGAAAGTTTACTACAATCAGACACATAATGAGGATAAAGTTTTCATTTGGTTACTGGACATGGTGTCAGAAAGTAGAACTGCTGAAAAGACTTTGGGTACAAGTATAGTATTTCACTGAAAATAATATAGCTTAATATTGTTATTGTCAACTATAAGTTATAACATCACATCTCCTTGTTACAAAATACGATTTCATTTCATTGTGAGTTTCGGACACAATAATGTCATATTATTACAACCACCCTCATGAAAGATTCGGATAAGATTCCACATCATCATGTGGTAGCAACTTTACTTTGATTTTGTCTATCCCAGGTATGAGAGAATGTTTCCGAGTTATAAAATTTGAGGCTAAGGATGTCGCCAGAACACTAACATTTGTCGGTAAGACATGCCTACTGATAGAGTCATGGAGTCAAAAAACCTGTAACCAACCGACCAACTTCAAGGTTTAATAGTTACAAAGGGTATACGCTTGCTTGTAACACAGACATTATACCAAAATATCTAATCTCCTCAATGGTATATCATCCTGCCAAACTCTTGGGCATGGAAGAAACTTGTTATATTCAAACATAAATTCCTTTGTACCTGACATATATCAAATATGCAGTTAAAATTAAGGCTATTCAATATCAATTGCCTTCATGAACTATTTTAGATAAATTGTACTGTAAATAAGATATATCAATGACGGTTGTATGAAAGACCCTCAAGTGAAAAAAGTAACTGTCAATAAGAATGGAGAATTATATACAGTAGAGCAAAAAACTTAATTAAATGTCACCATAGAGCACAGTTTCATCCTTCTAGGACTTATCAGTGATGCAAATTTTGGGACCAAGGTATGAAAAGTCAAAATGGATAGCAAGAAATGTGAAAGTCAAGATGAACCTGTATCAGTCCAAATGTACCCATAAAATATTTTGTGCTTAATTTTGACATACAGACTACTTTTCATTCCAAAATTAAGACATTTAAAATATCCTTCTTTTCAACAGACCCCCATCTATCTATCTATCTATCCAAGCATTACATTATATGTAAGACCATCTTAAATTTCTACATGGAAGCATGATATATACCTGATAAATGGTTCCTCCCTGGTGAGAATAAAGAAAGCAAATCCTGACTTACAGCAGCTATCTCTACAGGTAAGTTACCTGCTAGTTACCACTACACAAGTAGTGTCTCAAAACAACCCAGGCAGGGAGGATTGTACACAAATCAATTCAACAGTCCCTGTCATTTCACAGGTAGGCTCTTTAATTTCACCGAAGAATTCCATTACAGTCTGTACCAGAATATATTTAGCCTGTCCCCACACACAAAAGATAGCAGTTTCTTTGGATGTTTGACTATGGTATGTATTAGATCAATGTGTCCATCTATTGAAAACTACAAGTTATGTTGGTATAATGTCTGTATACCAGTGACTGTGTCAGGCAGAGAGTATGTATGTGTTTATGTATACATACAAAATCAACATTTAAATGATTTGATAAGGAAGCTGAAATTAAAATATCAACAATCAGCAAGCTCCATTATTAACTAGAACAGAAAAAAATACTGCCAACATTTTCGATGAATATTATCAACATTTTTTAAAAATAATTAATAGATAAATCAATCAATAGATTTTTTCATTTTTATTCTGTACATTACCTGATAATTAAAACTTAAAATCCCTTTCTGCTGTGCTGAGGAAAAACTGTCGGATCAGTAAAACTTCAGTGAAAGAAATAATTCCCTTTATATTTGAAACAGGTTTGAAGTTTATCAAATCCTAAGAACTAGAATACGGATCAAAGGGTTACAATAGTAAGATGTTGGTATTTCTTTTTGTACACTGAAGTATGAAAAGATACACAAATCTCGTTTGAAATATTGCCATGTTAGTGAAGATAAGTACGGCTTTAATTAAGTTACATCAATAGAATAAATGTTAACGTGATAACTTTCTTGTTTCTGAAGAATTTAAGTTAAGACTCCTTCTGCCCAGACCAACAAGAGTGATTAAAGTAAGTTGGAAAAACTGATTTTGCAATTGTTTTTAAATAAATAAAGTTTATTTTTACTTGAAGTTATGCCATTTTATATCTTCATTCAAACTTAAGAAATAAAAATTCTCTCATTCAGGTTAAGTACTAACTGTTTTCTATTTTTGTTTTATGAGTCATCTTGTAAGAAATTGCTGTGAAAGTAGGGAGAGAAATCGTGCATGGATCATCACTAGGTAATTATCTCTAGAGATAAGATGTTTCAGAAATCACATACCGTATTTCACAACAAATTAGCCCCCTCCCCTTGTAAAAAATTATTGATTCATACCAAATCTAATCATATAAACCTGATAGATAATAAGCAATATAAAAAAATATCAGTTTGATTACAATAAAAACAAACAAACAAATAATAATAATGAAGATACAAAAAGGTAACAAAGAAAAGATTGGACCAGAGAAACAGCAAAATATTGAGGGGGGGAGGGGGACTTTTCCTGACCTGCTGATTTGTTGATTATTAAGTGGATTAAAACATGAATTCAATATCTATCTCATGACCATTACCAAAGTTTGCTTTTAAGATACAGAATAACCAGAATTTGATGAAACCAACATGTCATATTCCCTACTAGTCAACTGATTGTGAAAATTTCCCCACCCCATATAACAATTAAAGAAGGTGAGAATGTTATCATCCTACTTGAATATACCAGGTAAAGGTCAGCATGAATAATCATTTTGATCTTTACCTCTGTATTGATCTCATCCATGTACACCAGTATAAATTAAACTATGATATCTATAACAGAGTCCAGGGCAGAAGAACTAAGTGGATTATAGAGATAAAAAGTAATCCACATAAAATCAATATTAACATGATACCTGTAGAAAGTTATATGACCTGAGAAAAAGTGTCCCTACCTCACAACAGGAATTTCTTAATACTGAATATCATATCGAAAATATATACATATAGGTGTGATAATGTATGATAGCTCTTTAACTCACCTGTATACAACTTAAATGGAAAATGAAATTTCAAATAATTTTCTGGATCAGTGATTTTCAATATTAAGGCACTGACGTGGACAAGCACAGTACATAAAAGGCTTTCATCAGATATACATGGTCCTTTCAGCCATTACTGTTATGCAGTCAATAGCTTTCTTGATTCTATACAAACCACTCTTGGTATCCAAAGCCAGCTGGGACAATCATCATAACACTAGTAGTATAATACAGTGAGAAAGATATCTACACAATTTATATGTTTGTATGTCATGTCAGGTGACTATGTTCACATAAGTGTAGGAATGACTATAAATATGTTGACATTCATTTTAACTCATTTTTAAATTCAATATGTACTTGTAAATAAACTGCATAGCATAAGCTAATTTTGAAGAAATTCACTAAAAGAGAGTTCGAGGGTAAGAGTTTGAATAAAAGATTATCTACACAAGATACATTTGTAGTTGTTTCTACACATTATTTCTGAGTCATCAAGGATAAAATTATTTGAACAAAATATAATAATGCTAAAATCAAGGCTGTTTCATTTTCTTTTTACTTCAAAAGGATGCATGGCATTATTATCACACCATCATCGATGGTACTTTATCTGTTGTCCATCTGTCAGTCCTTGAACAATTCATATTATTGCTATTTCCTGAGAAGCACTGGATGGATCTTTATCAAATTCATACATAAGTACCACCTTGTACCCTTTTTTGTGTAATGTCCCATTTTCGGGCTGATCGGAATGACGACATGGCTGACAGGCAACCATCCTGGATTTTGACAGTAATAGACTGTTATTACTCTTTCTGGAGAAGCACAAAATAGATAATTCACTAATATACCGATCCCTTGGTCCCTAGATGTACTGTTTTGATTTTCAGACTGATTAAAAAAAACCAAAATGGGTAACAGGTGGCCATCTTTAATTTTGACATTAAAAATTTGTTATTGCTATTTCTTCAGAAAAACTATATGGGTTGTTCTCAAATTCCGTATGTAGGTTCCCCTTTGCCCTTTGTTGTGTCATTTTGATATTGGGATTGAACAGAAAACAAAATGGATGACAGGTGACCATTTTGGATTTTGGCGATAAAAGTTTATCATAGCTTTTTTTTTGGAAAATATTAGATGGATTTTCTCAAATTTCATATGTAGGTTCTCCTTGGTTACTATTTATGCTTTTTCAACTTTTGAGTCTGCTGGAAAAAGCTAAATGACTGATAGATGGCCATCTTGGCTTTTGAGAAAAAAGTTTATTCTTGCTGTTTCTTGGGAATAACTGGATGGATCTGTCATCAATTTCATCTGTAGGTTCCTCTCTGTACCTAGTTGTGCCCATTTAATTTTCAGTCTGATAAAAGTGAAAAAATGGCAAGACATGGAACCATCTTGAGTTTTGAAATTCATCTGAAGTTTGTTAATGCTATTGCTTAAGAAATACAGGATGAATCTTTCTCAAATTTTATATGTACCCGATAGGTTTCCTTTGGTCAATTTGGGATTGCCAGAAGATATAATACTGACAAGCAATGACATTTCCTTGGACAGTTGAAAATTATTATTGCTATTTCTTGAAAGGAATTTTCAATTTTCTGAAAAATGAGAGCAGATAAGAGAAAAGGGGGGAAAAGATCAAACTTTTAATGAACAACTAAAGATCAAACAATGGTGGAAGCCAAGATCCCTCTGGGATCTCTTGTTTCAGTTGGCAACAAAAGTTTTGTTTTTGTTTATCAAAGTGATAAATATAGATGTAAGAATAGTTTTCACTGTTCTGTCTTCTGTTTATTATTTATCTTACAGAATCCACACTTGTTGACAATCCATACCTGATATTAATTAGCCTTACTACATCTGTTCAAAAGAAATGTCAACAAAACCTTTTTTTATTGTCTTTTTCAAATGGCCCCTATATTAAATCTTCCCCTTCTGAAGACTTAACTCTGGTAACACCACTACTAAACATTTACAGTAAGGAGTAGGCATAGTCATAACTGATCAATGGAGAATAACAAAAATATTCAGGGTTGTATCATCAACAAAAATTGTTTATTTTTACACTTAATCAATCTAACTACAATATGACACTGGTACTTTTATACACCTGTATTTTATTTAGCTAAGGTTTAAACAACAGTCATTGTTGTATAACCTGTACATGTGGCAATAAGCCCACCCATATAAGATCATAATCTCATGCATGTTTTTCAGAGTCCTTTAATTAGCCTCCTCAACTGACTTTGAGTAAGAAACTATGTGTTGTCCCATTGGCTTATTGCTTAATATTAAAGTATAGTAGTATGAGTTTTTTTATTTTTCTTAATATTGCAGCACATAATCCATCTAGTAAAGGTAATCCATTTTAATCTGTTCCATGAAACAAGTCATCGCTATAGGATTTTTTTAACCTTATCATAAATGGACTCTAATTCTAAAGGTTGTTATTTTTCGAGGGTTCTGTTTTGAGTAATTGTCAAGGATGAAATGAGTGTCAATAGAGAGTTTCTTAAAAACAAATCTGGAAAAAAATGTTTGGCAGCCCATAACTGCAGAAAAAAGCACCAGATAATAACTTGACCTGCATCATTTCATGATTACATACCAAATTTGAAAACAGTGGGTTCATCTGTTACTTAGTAATATTAAATGGAAACTAAATGATGACAGGCTAGAGCCAACAAACAATGGCCAGGTAGTTTTATAACAGAGGCATGAAAACATCCATGTGTGATTTCCGACCATTCCCAGTGAAAGAGCAAAGAACTGGTAATGTCACAATTATATAGAATTCTTAGAATAAGGTCATTTTAATAAGATCACTGAGTTAGAAACCTTAAATGGCTTGATTACATTATAAGCACATTGACAAATGGGGTTTAGTATCTGTGTACTTTGATGCAAAGTCATATTGTAAATAAGCCAGTCTAAATATGTAACCCTGGAAAAAGACATCATTATGATGTGAATGGACCTCTGATCTTGATATCACTTCAGAGTCAATATGATGTACACTTAACCTTTATGGAGATTAGCACTACATACCTAGGTTCATTGTTCAATAAAATTATAAGATAATTGATGTTTGACCCATTGACTGTTTATTCCATTATGATAAGTTTTATGCATGAATAGATTTTTTCATATATCACAAACAGACATGTATCTTGTTTCAGTGATTTCCTACTGTAGAACTAATTTTCCTCTCTGATAAGAATTGTGTCCTTCAGCCACAAAAAGAAACAAAAAACAAACAAAAACCAATCTAGTACAGAAAGATTTCTTGTGACAACAACTAAAGATATAAGAATATTAGATAAAAACATGACTCACCATCACAAGATCGAAGTTAATGATGGTGCTTGCATTGTTTGAAGCAGGTCCATAATCAGTGGTGGTCTCTGTTCTTCGGCCCATTCCTGCTCTGAAATAGGAGTTTGCATCTGAAGCATCTTTCAGGGTCACAGAGACACCATCCTGTTGAAAAAGCAAAGTACACTTTTACTTCAATATGACATACTAAGAGATTAACGGCAAGTGGGATAAAGGGATTTACAGTGAGATCTCTAAATAATGTCACTCATAACAACTTCTCCCTACTGTCAAAAAAAGGAAATGTCTACAGTAAGATCTCAATAAAACATCATCATTCATGACAACCTCTCCTACTGCCAACAAAGGAAAGATTTACAGTAAGACCTCTATAAAATGTCATTCATTGCAACCTCTCCTACTGCCAACAAAGGAAAGCTTTACAGTACAACCTCTATATAATGTCATTCATTACAACCTCTCCTACTGCCAACAAAGGGAAGATTTACAGTAAGACCTCAATATAATGTAATTCATTGCAACCTCTCCTACTGCCAATAAAGGAAAGATTTACAGTAAGACCTCTATATAATGTCATTCATTACAACCTCTCCTACTGCCAAAAAAGTGAAGATTTACAGTAAGACCTCTATATAATGTCATTCATTACCTCTCCTACTGCCAACAAAGGAAAGATTTAAAGTAAGACCTCTATATAACGTCATTCATTACAACCTCTCCTACTGCCAACAAAGGAAAGATTTACAGTGAGATCTCTAAATAATGTCACTCATAACAACTTCTAGATACTGTCAAAAATATATGTCATTCATTAAAACCTCTCCTACTGTCAACAAAGGAAAGATTTACAGTAAGCTCTATATGACATCATTCATTACAACCTCTCCTACTGCCAACAAAGGAAAGATTTACAGTAAACTCTATATGACATCATTCATTACAACCTCTCCTACTGCCAACAAAGGAAAGATTTACAGTAAACTCTATATGACATCATTCATTACAACCTCTCCTACTGCCAACAAAGGAAAGATTTACAGTACAACCTATATATAATGTCATTCATTACAACCTCTCCTACTGTCAACAAAGGAAAGATTTACAGTGAGATCTCTAAATAATGTCACTCATAACAACTTCTAGATACTGTCAAAAATATATAATGTCATTCATTACAACCTCTCCTACTGCCAACAAAGGAAAGATTTACAGTAAGACCTCTATATAATGTCATTCATTACAACCTCTCCTACTGCCAACAAAGGGAAGATTTACAGTAAGATTCCTTAATAAGGTATCAAGCATCCTATTTTGGTCATTAAACCTAAACATCTCTATATTTTGAAGTCCTATTTTTCCTTGCACTCCTCCGAATACCTCAGAAATTTTCATAGATTTCACAGCAAATATTATGAAATTAAGATTAGTATTTACTTACATTTTAAGCTAAGAAATTAGAACTCGTCTTCTGACATACATGTACTTATACAAGAGTCAACCTGCCAAGAAGATACTCCACAAAAACAAATACAAGTTTAGACATAAATGTCCCCACTTATCTGCGAATCAGAATCTAATTGGGTGTAGGTATTGATGTTACAATACTGTAGGGTAAATACTAACCAAACCAATTTGAAAGTAGATAAGATAAGACAGACAGATAGGGCTAATGCCTCATCCATTCAGCTATATAATGGTGTGGACAAAAAAGTTAAATTTTTGCTGTAAACTTTAAGTTCTCACCTTTACATGAACTCCCTTGTCTGCTGATTCTGTGAGATCTTTATAAGCCCCACCACTGACCCCTGGAACCTGGAGCAGGTCCTTAATCAGTTCATTGTATACTTCATACATCTGGAGAGTCACTGTGGGGCTATGTCTCCTTACCTTAGTGTCCGCCATGAATTTTTCTACAACATATCAGTTTTGATATAAACTCAAAATATTCTCTGAATATAAAGAACAGTCATAGACCTCCTCGCAATACACATGTATATCCATGAACACATGTTCAATGCCTGCATATAGTGATTACATTTATTGCAAATTTTGAGTATCATTAGCATTTTTGTATTATTATGAAAAATCATATATTACATGTGTAATGCCAAAAATATTTTATGGTACAAGACTGCACTCCTCCAATTCAGGGAAATGTAGTAAATTACAAAATCTAAAGCCAGTTGCATGTTTCTGATTTTATCTTGTTAAAAGTTCAGGTTGATAGAATGCTGAATGCTTCCAACAATACCAGTGATGGTCCAAAAATGGCTCCAAAGTAAGTAAGAAAACCAGAACAATTAAAAAACTTCTTTAGTGCCAATAAACATGAAGCAGTTATTAACATAGTGTACATTTGTAATTAACAGCCTTTTTAAAAGTAAATATATTTATTTATCAGTATGGCTTTCTTTTCTATATATACCCTAAACAATTTTTTTTTCTGTTGAACAATTATAAACTCTGACCTTCTGCAAGTCTGCTGAAAAGGTAATCAAATACCATCGGTGCCACGCCGGCCTTGTTAGCCGTTTCTCCAGCAACAGTGAAAGACTTGCCAGACTCACTCTCACCCATGACAAGGAGGCAAACATTAAATCCAGCCAAATACAGGTCCAGCAGGTTTTCCACCGAGTGCTTGAACACATCATAGTTTCCTGCATCCTTGTGGTGGAGATAGGAAAAGCTGCAAATTGAGAACATTCAAATCTACATGTATACAAGTATTTTTCTTATAAGTTTATAAATTAATTTATCTATATTATAATTTTGAAGACAAAATGATAATTTAATAAATTAATTAAGATGCTGCTTGTTTCCTTTTTTTTTAATCTGTACACAGAAACTCATCCGATTTACACCAAATATTCTAATTACATATTAGATTCAAAATCTTACTTGAGAAAAGGTCCTTTAGACTGCGCTGCTATTCTCTGTCCATCGATGATAAGGTTGCCAGAGCCTTCAGCACGGATAGATGGACGAATCCGTCCGACCACATCAATATTCATTTTTCCTCAGGTCTGCAGCTTGTATGCTGTCATCATAAAATTGACTATACTTTTCATACTGTTGATTGTATATTTAACCTACAGTTATCAAAAAAAAAAGGGCTGGGATAGATCAGTATGGCATTGATTGTACATCAAACCTACAGTTATCAAAAAAAGGGGCTGGGATAGATCAGTATGGCATTGATTGTACATCAAACCTACAGTTATCAAAAAAATGGGGCTGGGATAGATCAGTATGGCATTGATTGTATATCAAAACTACAGTTATCAAAAAAATGGGGCTGGGATAGATCATTATGGAATTGCTTGTACATCAAACCTAAAGTTATCAAAAAAGGGGGCTAGGATAGATCATTATGGCATTGCTTGTACATCAAACCTAAAGTTATCAAAAAAGGGGCTGGGATAGATCAGTATGGCAGATTGTTGGTCTATGTAACATCAGGTGAAGGTCCATGATACATGATTCAATGATCCCTACCTGTGACTATTAGAAAAACAAAACCAGTCTGTTCTGACATGCAAGGCATTTTACCCTAATTGATGAATGACATGAGATGGGCCTCCTGCATGTTGATTAGTGAGGTACCCACCAGCTACAACAAGGAGATCCTATCTCCAAATGACCCTAGCTGTTCATCGAGTGATAAACGCAACAAATATTATTAATCATTATGGCAATGTGAATGTACCATATGTAAATCCGTCTTTAAACAACTGGAATAAAAAAAAATCAGGTCAAAGACAGATTCCTAGAATATATGATCTTTAAAGCATTATCAGAAACTTATGTCTTGCTTCTCATTTTGGATGGACAGACAGCTCCGCCAGTATTGATATTTACGCCCTGTTGTGTGCAAGAGTGTGAGGGAAATGGGTTAATTGCAGAGTGAGAAGGAGTTATCCCGCCTGAATAAATCTTACTAAATGAGAAATAAGCATGCTTTGTCAAGATGTAATTATACGTTAACAATACAACTCGTACTGTTTTGGAATAAAATAGCATTATCCAAGTTAAGATATAGAGTAAAAATCTAGATAACTGGATCGCATCGTGACATAGGTCTCGTGCTGAGAATCAACAACAGGACAAATAACCAGTAATCACTGAACATTTGAATAAATTGCTGAAAATAAATGGTTCAGGGGATAAGTGTGGTTCGTGATGAACATGTAGTAGTCAGAAGCACGATCGTAATACCTGTTAATGGCTTAATGTCGAAAACTTGAGACAAATCCCATTTTATGACACAATTTTACAAGTTGTTTTCCTTCACGACAGCCATTCCTGACATATTTTACCTTCGCAAATTGAAGAGTTCTGTTTTTTCAAAGGTAGAGATTTGTTATATTTTCGAAAGAGGGTTTTATTTAATATAGTGACAGTTCAAATTCAGATAAGCGCAAATAGTTATTAAAAAATAATAGTTTTACCCACATTTTCATTGACATCTCTCATACCAGATTTGTTAAAATCACAAATGTTTCTTGGTGTATTGAATGAAGATACTTAACCTCAAAGTTAAATTACTGTATTGCTATTGGAAGAAAATGGAAAACAAACTGCCAAAATGTGTTTAGTAGCAAATCGGACACATGGTTATATCTTCCGGAGGAAGAATAAGGTTTCTCTGCATCGTACCAGCTTTAAATACTTCGATGTTCATTTTATGCCAATATCTATATGATGCGTAAACGGATAGGACATAAACAGTCCGTCAGTATATTTTTGAATTCATATTTTGAAACTTACTGTATCACAAAGATGTGTAATGCATTTAGATGTTAATATCAGGAAGATACACCTACACCTACCAAAACGAGTACGGTGTAACATAGATAAAGGAACAAAAAATATAGTAGGGGGGGGGGGGGGTGGGGAGAGAAAGAATAAGGTTTCTCTGCATCGTACCAGCTTTAAATACTTCAACGATCAACATCAAATTCGAACTGATTACACTGAATTACAAAGACAGTATGTACCTTTCGTATAGATGATGACATTCAAATTGTTTGTCATGAAAAAATATTGTTCTCGTACATTAAATACCAAGGACTGAAAAGGGGTATCAGTTATATTGAAATCTTCGGATTATACACAGAAGACAGTGATACAAGGAAATATGAGAAAGAATAAGATCTCAGAAAACATGACCTAGAAGAGCTGTTTCCATTGTTAATATTGTGACGTCATAACTTCACGGAATTCTGACGTCACCAAAGAAGGATAGTTGCTGATTTTAAACTTTGTATCAGTGCTTATATTACGTGTAATGATTTTAAATGAATTATAATGAAGATGGTCACAGAACTACCCCTTGGGCGACGCCCACCCGGCATTTGAAGGAACACAATTATATACTTAATGTCAATCTTGATTGGGGCATATCACAGATTAGCTGTTTTTCTTGTTTGTCTATTTACGTCATAGATTTCACAAAGATTCATGTACAATATATATTACCTGATTCTGTAGTACTGCAGAACTGCGTTTTTTTTTCCGATTCGGTAAAAAATCGCAAATATTAACTCCTGAATCTTATGAGTGATTCTTCAGAAGACAATAAATTAAATAAGTAGAGGATTTATTGGACTCTAAAGATATGTATTCAGAAATTGAAATTTAGGCCTCTGGGAAAATAGAAAAAGTTCATTAGATATCAGGAAGGAGAGTCACCTCCCTTAGGAGTACATACATATTGACCTCTTTCGGCCTAGCTCATCATGAAAGACGATGATGGGGGCTTACAACTCTCCCGACAGATACAGGAGGAGCGGACGTCACTCGGAGGATTCGAAGCCAACCTGAAACGGGTAAACTATTGATAATTTTTTATACTTCATAAAGTAATAGGCCGATTGACTGTTGCCACCGGGCACGTGTCTTACTTAATGTACCAAGGGAGAGTACTTGCGTTTAGGATCTGAAACAAACAAAAAATAATAATAATGTTAAAAACATACTATTTTAGAATTAGATGTAGCTATGACACGAAATCAGTCCGTTCGCCTGCTGTATGCCCATAAATAGTTCCTACAATAACTACTTCTAACGACAGACAGAGCATTGGTGTACTTGGAGAAAGAGGAACCGAAAGAGAAACAAGACTTGAAAAAATATTTTACTTACATATAGTTACGAAAACAAGATGAATTAAATTCCTTACCTGAAGCACAGACTTAGACATAGATATGTCGAGGTCCGTACCTGAAACACCCATAGATGAAAGTAGTGTTTTGATATAACTTACGTTAACTATGTGCGACAAAAATGTAATTGATCAAAGCCAAGGACATATGATATATAAGGTAAAGTAAGGCTAATGGCTTGATTTTTTCGCCGTAGCTTTACAAAGATATACCGTCAATCGATTATCCCTCTATCACACGTCCCTGATAAAATATATGTTAGAAGACTTTCCCCTTACGTATTGATAGGCTTATCTTAGCGATTTAAAGATTCTACCCGGTTTAAGATTGGGTCCATACGTAAACATCCATTCCGTTAAATTTAGTATATATATATATATATATGTGTGTGTGTGTCTACATAACTTAACTTATTTCAACTTATTTTCCCATTTTTGGCACTGACCCATTTAGAGAAACATCAGCACATTTTGTTTGAAATGCGATTGAGCCCTAAATCAAACAGTTTAGCAATTTTTTTGAATTGTAGTTACGTATCGTGTCGGGAGAGGGCGGCAGCATGGTGTGTGAAATGGACGTGTTGCCCACGGACAGAAACAGTCACGGAACCCTACACGGTGGGATGATATGTACTCTAGCCGATGCAGTGTCTTCATGGGCTTTCCACGTTGTCGAACGCACTCAGGTCAGCGTCAGTACCGGCCTCCACGTTATGTAAGTAGTGGTCACTGTGTTACTCAAACATAATCTCAAATTTTCATTTTTAATTATATGTTTATTTATTTCATTTCATTTATCTACTTATTTACGTATTTTACTTGAAAATGATATAAATTTTCATTGTTGGAACCACAAGAGACTTGACATAGGTATAACGACCTTAGTGTAGGTCTCTCGGACAAGATATGGGTATCCTGAACTATATGGATCTGAATTTATAGTTTACTGGAATTAGATATTCAATTATAGATAATGAGAACTAAATTTGGATATCTGGAACTAAATATAGGTATTTGGAATTAAAATTAGCTGTCTGGAACTGAATATAGCTGTATGAAACCAGATATATGCACCAGAAAAAGAAGAATCTGGAACTAGGTATGGATATCTTGGTCTTTGAATCTAACGTATAGATATCTAGGTCAGTGGAACGAAATAAAGGTATTTTGGTCTGTGGAACTAAATATGGCCTAGGTATCTAGAACACCATTTTAAGTGTCTGGAGTCACATATAGCTTTAAGCAGAACTACACCACTTTGTGTTATATTTTTGGAACCCACGTATACCACGCCTTTTACCGGAAGAGTATCAAGAGTGAGAGAATTATGAATATTAGTAAACACGAGACTTACCGGTTCAAAAGAGTTTTTCATGACGTGAAATCAACGAACGTAAAGGCATGTACATTTTAATACTGAATGGGAATTAAACAGGTTCTTCTTGTCAAAATATTCCATCTGTTCTTTTTTGCTTTTGATAACTACGGACACAATGTAGATTATTTAGTGTAAATACATATTCTTAACATGTCCCCTCTTTCCACTTTACAAGTGTAGGGTATGTTATAGGAAAAAATGGATAGTGAAGCGGAAATGACGTATAGTTACCAAATCTTATAATTGCTGATAAATGATTACTGTTAACTCAGGTTTATGAAGCCCGCAAAAGTCGGTACGACGATTATAATCGAAGCTCGTACGGTTAAACGTGGACGAAAAATGGTTTTCCTAGAAGTCACCATCACAGACAAAGAAAAAGGCTTCATAGTTGCAAAAGTCAACCATTCCAAACTGATATTAGGTAAGCCATCATATCCAAAACAAAGTACAAATTCATAAGCAACCGATCTGTTCTCATCTCTGGAAGTCGCAGCACGCGAATGGATCGGTATTAAAATGTATAGTACAATTGCGGTTATATGTGTTTGTTTTATGCTTGATTTTGATATATTGTATTGCAGATGTCGGGACTAAGCTTATCAAAAGCAATATGTGATGACAGAGACTTGTCAGACGCGTAAGACATTGGGCATGCACAAGTGAGGAGAATATTCGAGAAGGTCCAAACTAGTCACAAGAAGTCATATTTGAAATAATCCCAACTTGTGTGAAGTAACATTTCGGATAAATTAATTGTGGGCGCTTTCGCGCAAGCGGTTGAAACGGTTGGGCCGGTTGAACCTGAGAAAAAAAAAACCAGATACAGATCGTGACCGAGGCTGGACTGCGGGATATTTGGCACGTGCAGATCGAGAAGTCCGGCCAACCTGTCCGCAAATAAGTTGCTGCATACCATTAGTTCTCAGAATTTCAGCTTAGAGTAGGGTCGTGCACCGGATGTATTGTGCTATTAAGTATGAGTGAAATGGATGGTATCTTAATTTCAGTTAATTGTTTTATGCATCGGAATTCCGAAACTGTGCATTTGTAGCTTTACATGCACGTTCGTGTATATAGAGGAATAATTAGACTACCTCAACAGTTTCAACTGGTTTACGTGAAAGCGGTTGAGTGAGAGAATCCACGGTGGAGAAAGGAAATAGAAATGAAACATCATAAGTGAAAGCTTTGAGGGAGAATGAGTGTGATATATGTAACGGTGAAATCTAGTGCGAGAGTGACAAAAGGCGTGCCTATAGAGGTGTAAATAGCTATTGTTTAATTTTGTATTGTAATATGAACAAAATATAGATGATAATATTATATACATATAACTGTACTTTGTTATTTTTTCTGTTTACCACTGAGACGTAAATTTCTCTAATTTCAATAAACAATAAAGACATGACATCAATTTGACAAAATTAGATGTTGTTATTCTGTCAACGACAACTTAAAGGCTGTACTTCAATATTGTCTTCATTTTAAACATATTTATTGCCAAATGATCGACAAGGAATTAAGCACAAGTCTTGCAACTTATCAACGTCTTCTACCAATATACATTTTAAATGACATTACAATACTGACAATACAACTTTACAGTTATTGTTACAATTTGACATCTCATTTTCTTGCTGGATTTAGTGTAGTTTTGCACATAACTAAAAATGTATGAATTAAGGTCCACGGAAAGTAGGTAATTGCCATATAAGAGAATTTCTAAATCGAATGCAATGTTCCAATTATTCAACTTTTGAACTAGAATACGTCTTTCGTTTGGGAAACGTTGACATTCAATGAAATAGTGACCGACATTCTCGCAGGGATGACCACAATTACAAGATGCATTCTGAACTAGGTTTACTCTAACAAAAGTCAATGTTAAGGAAACTGCACTGGTGTCGGAGCTAAGTATGCAATATACCGAGTTTGCGATTTCCAATTTTATGGTATATAGGTGGACTTGACCGAATATTTGATGGTAAACAGGATTTGAATGAACTAATAGAAGGTTGAAATCGAACCAAATTTTCTAATTTATTCGAAGAGTAAAAAAAGACTTAGTAAGAGACAATCCGAAATTAGGAATCCTATAGTTATTATTGTTACATAATTCGTAACGACTAGATTCGCAGATAAAGACGGCAAAAGATGATTGAGGTATTCAGGAATTAATTTATTATGTATTTTGTACATTAATTGAAGCTTCCTCATTTTCTGCGATTAGTTAATGTTTCAGGACCAGTTTTGTGGTATTAATATGGGTATATGAAGACAACCCTAATACAATGCGAGCGGCTTCGCCTAGAGCTTTTCATAACTTTTCTTATTAAAAATAGTGCAACCTTACCACAACTCACAAACAGATTCTAATTTCTTAAAAGAACATTCCTTCTTCATAAGTGTTTCAATTTCCGTAAGACATTAATTTTGTTCATAGCCAAAGTGTTAATTCCATTTGCATGATCTCCCCACTTTTGATTCGAATAATAAGTTACACGTAAATGTTTGATAATCTGTAAAATTTAAGATTTTTCATTAAACAGTCTCTAGAACTGAAGAAAGTCGCAGTGTGTTTACTGCTCTTTTCTCTCTGGCAACTGTAAGATGTAAATATATCGTAAGCTGAAACCTCGTTGATTTTATTTTCATATTTTGTGTCGTACTAGAATATTGTGGTATGTGTTTTGTATTTCTATCATTTTCTTTATAAGTCGTTGTCTCGACTGCATCATTTTAGTGACTGAAATAAAAAATAATCAAGAAGGTTATTACTTATTGTAGTTCCAGTCATTAAACTTTTTGATCTCGGTGTATACTTTACGATTTTTAACTTAACATCAGGTATAAAATGACACATCCTCTATGACGAACACAGCGCATCAAATTATCGGATTCTGTCCAAATAGTGTAGACCCCTTCCATTCTTTCTTCATCCTCAAGTTCTCCATATTCATCGTCTTTGTACATGTTTGTGTCAAGCCATCTAGATGTAGCGTGTGAAGATTTCACAATATTTAAGCTGATTGTTTCTTATTAAACTCTGAAGTAATTAAAGTGTATTAAACTGTTGTCATGACACGGTTTGTTATGAAAGGGGGGTGGGGGTTGGAGGGGTGTGGGCAACAACATTGTAAAGGTCGCCATCTATTTCATTGTAAACACCAGTTTTCAACAGCAACCGCACCCAACATAGGTATGTCCCGTCAATTAAGATGGCGCCATACTGAATGCACAAAAATTTCAGATAAAAACAGTACCGCCTGCACAGCAGCCATATTTGAAATGGTTTAAATCGCAAACGTGTGAATATAAGAGCGGAACAAATGCACAAAAATTTGACAATGGACCTCATAAGTAAAAAAAAAAAAAAGTAAAGTTCTGACAATGGACCTGCACAGACAAGCCATATTTGAAATGGTTTAAATCAATGGCTAAGTAACGTGTGAATATAATGGACCTCACTAAGTATACCTCCGACCTCACTAAGTATACCTCCGTAAAGTTCTGACAATGGACCTCACTAAGTATACCTCCGTAAAGTTCTGACAATGGACCTCACTAAGTATACCTCCGTAAAGTTCTGACAATGGACAAACGATGGTATACATCGCTATATGGTCACAAAGGAGAAAGGTTATGTATGAAATTGTGAGTTACACTTGTATATTAAAATATTCAATAAAAAAATCAAAACTACTACTGATAATTGTATCGGGTAACCCGCCAATATTCAAAAAGTCGATACCATTGGTCATTGTATTCAATGATGATGCCTTGTTAGATAAGGAACACATGTCTCGTTACTCAAATTATTTTGTAGTGATGCTGCACTGTTTACGACGATTCAAAGTCTGTTTTCTTCGACACTGTATTTTTGGTTAGTGTGGAGCATTCTGATAGATTTAAAGAAAAACAGAATAGATAGGTATAAAAGATATTATTTTGTTATTTTGTCTTTACAGAGCGTCGTACACATTGAATATGTGTGCTTTTCTCGCAACTTTCCCAAATGTTTACATTAAAGTGATACCATAAATTTCCTGGGATGATTTGTGTTGAAGAAACTTATGTAGTTGATGTCAATACTACCAGGTATTTGTTTTTCACAGCTTGTCATCCTCTCTCGGATGCAATTGATTACTTTCAACGATTTCGGACAAAAAAAATGGCCGAAAGAATATGAAAAATCAAATTTAAAACAAATTGGTATGAAGGAAGTGTAAACCAAAATCATGCTTGATACATCATACGTAATATTGTGTGTTCTATACATGATCTATATCATTTTGTTTCACAAGCCTTTTATCCCACCAATATAGGTGTTAACACAATGGGTAACCTCTTAGCGATAATGTTTAACAATATGGACGCTTGTCTTTTGGCTCACTTGAACTCCATTTTGAATGGTACAAGACCAACATATGATATTCAAAGCGCTTGGTTTGTTTTCAATCTAATTAAAATTAGGCTTGCAATTCCACTCTGCTAAAGGTGTTTCCTTCAAACTTTACTCAAAAGTGTAACAATATCATGACAATACTACTGAGATGTTTTAAACAAAGATGCGAATGTCCACGGGAGTGGTTTCATGTCTTACATTTCCTGTTTATATGGGATACATACATAGTCTAAATTTAGCATATGTTTGTATGCAATGACTTACTTAAGCAACAGTAACCATGGAAATGCACAATGTTGTTCAGCAGTCCCATCTACTGTTGATATCTTCAATAATGTTATACACTTTTTCAGAAACCAATCTTAATGCAATGTTGGATGTTGAAAAAGCAGCATATTTATCCGACAACAAAAATGTATTGAAATATAGGAATTAAACATCAACTTTCTTATCAAATAACATTAAGAAAGCACAAAATCTGATGATGTTATAACAATAAATTCTACTTAATTCCAAATAAGTTGAGGGAAAGGAATATCCAAACAGAGTACATGTAAAACAATCTGCAATGAAGAAAGAAGTACATCCATTCACAAGCTTAAAATGTTATTTTTGTATGCTGGACCTAATCTATTACAAGACAAAACTTAAATACTATCCTCCAAAATTGGGAAAAGCTTGGTTTAGTACCTAAAAATAGAAGAGGTAAATAGGACCAAAAATGTTTCAAGCTTGTTCTTTACACCTTGAATTTGGAAATGGAATTTGGAAATGAAATATGGACGACTGGGCTAACGTCTATATATGGGCTATATATAACACAGATAGCTCAGATGTAAGTATCATGGGAATGTGCATTTCATTCCATACATCTTCTTTGCATAAACTAATTCTAGTGGCATATTTCGTTGTGTTTAATTAATCATATGTGGACAACGATTACTGGCCAAAACCATTACCTCAGGTGATTGGGATGCAGCTAATGTGGTTTGGAAGTCAGGTAATGTAAAAAGTTAGCCAATAGGGCAGTGACCATGTTTACAAAACACATCCAGGTGTGACTATGGCCCTAAAGACATAAATCCACAAATTGTGTCCTCCTTACCTGTGATTTTTTGCTGGTGGTCCTCAAAATGAAGTGATATTAAGCATTTGGAAATAATTGACATTATCAGGTGTGGGATAACAGAGAATCTAAAGGGATAAAATCTGTGGTTCCAGAAAATGTGATATTAACTGGAAAGTGACATTTACTGATGTGACATTAATTGGTGTCCCCTGTATATGCTAGTACAAATGACAGAGAATGGAGGGACTAAAATGTATTGGAGGCATATTCCATATTTAGATGTGGTGATTTTGAATTATGTCATCATTAGTCATATATTTTTAGATTGACTCAGGCGATGAATTAAAATAGGTGCTCCAGATATGTGACAATAACAGGACATAGTCCTGCAGATATTTAGATTTCATTAAAGAGGTAAGGTCAAAGGGTCAGGAGGAGGAGCTGAATTCATCATTTGATATACCTGGTAAATGGTTTCACTAAATTTTCTACATACTTCTATCCTCAATTCACATATGAACTCTGGCACCATTTTAACAGCTTTAAAGATTTGTGTCACTTCTTTTTAATCTTCAAAAGGAGTGTCTCAGCCTGTGATTGGTCAGGTTTTTTTCTCTTGGAACCAATCAGATTACTCTGCTTGTGCCTTCAATGTTGCCATGACATGTTCCTGGGGTACAGAGAGTAGTAGTAACCCCTGGAGTATCGAGGATGACATGCATCAAGATTGGGGTATAGACTGAACCTTGAACGAAATTACCTTGATCAACGTAGTAAATTCTTGCTTCATGAAAGTGATCGTATTCAAAACATGTAAACATCAAAACTCTTAAAACCAAAAGAAAATGTCATTTATCTTTAATTTCATTGAAAAATAAATTAGGTTTAAGCAATAACATCATATTATTGCTTGTAAATAAATAGATATTTTACAGCATCATAAATCAATGCTGGCAATTTCAGGAAATAAAAGCCGAGATTCAAACTAAAACTTCTAATAATTGAATTTGAATACATGTGCTTCTTAAGTCTTACCACCTTACTTTTCTTAACAATCAAATAGCTTACATTGTATGTTCAGATTGATTCTTTTTTGATAAATAAAAAAAATGAGTTTTTTAAAACTGAGGCACACATAAGTTTCGAAATTGTTGTTCAAAGTAAGTATAACAGACCAGGACTATACAAAAACCTGATTTTCTATACATAGCTCAGAGAGAACTGTTGGGAATATGGTGCTGCTTGGAATTCATATCAACAAAGTTTGATCCTCGGATAAAATGAAATATGTTTGGACCTACTAATAATGTGAAACATAACTTTATGCTCTATCACCAGTCCATTTTTTCTCAAACAATTTCACATACACATTTGATACATTCATACACATAGATGAAAGTACTCTGGAGGATCATGTGATTTTAAACATTCTGAATGTGCTATAAATCCTGTGGCAGAAGCTGAATAATAAATACATGTTAATTAATGATTAGTGAATTAACATCACATGTAAACTAGTTTGAATCTCGGCTAATGATCACAGACAAAATATGATTGGCCTCTGTATTTAAAAGCAAAAACTCTTGTGTAGTATTTAATTCACTCAAATGTATTACCAAAATATACTGCATCATTACTCTATGGTAATTTAACTTCTCAATTCTGAGTATCACAAGTTTTTTTTGCTAGATAGATACAGCATACTGAAATAAGGATGGATTCTGTATCTAATGTTGAATGGTCACATACGTACATAATACGATGATTTTTCTAATACATACAATATCAATAATTTAAGTGCATCACTTTTTCCGTTTAAATCCTCTTCTGAAGTCTGATTTTGATGGCTTATTCAGTTTTTCTGAAATTTCTCCTTTCTTATGCTCAGAATGGAGGAACATGTATAGAGTTTTTGCATTTGATGAATTTCCCATGATTTCAGTGAGATTTTCTTCTGACAGGGTAGATAACTCTGCAAGGTTGTGAACTTTTTTCATAATGAGACGATAGTTCTTAACATTTACCCCAGGCATTCTCAGCAGGAAATCCTGTGAAACAGACAAAATAGATCAAATACTTTCATCAAGTACCCAGTTATCAAGAAAGCAAATTATGACCATATTCACTACTCTTCAATATCCAATGACATTTGTGATATGGCATGAGTTTTGTTGGCTTCTTATTACACCAATAGATATTAATGAGGTTTTGGATCTTACCTGAGGGGCATGACTGTATAGATCAGACCACTCCTCTCCATCCTCTGTAGACCCAATAGCCATTGCAGTGACAGCATCAGGTTGAGGACGTCCCATCTATTTACAAATTTTAATGTGATATCCCGGTATTGAAAATAGTCATTAATACTAAATCTTCTTTTCTTTTTTTAAACAAAACATAAAAATACATTTCCACTAGTTTTAAGTCTTTTTTGTTTATTTGTTTAATATTTTTTCAAGAAACCTGCTTTTAAAAAATTGATCAGAATTATGAATGTCAGCTAGGACGGAATTCAGTATGAATTTGTACCTTTAACTCTTCAAAGATCTCCGCTGTTGCATACGGACTTTGGCACCATAGGATACGAAGTTTAGAGAAATGGAGAGTCAACAAGGCCAGGCGAGAGATAGTGTCTTGTATGGAAACATCATTTGAGAGCTGGTATTTTCCCTGTAAAAGATTTTATTATAGCTTCTAAGACATTTCGTCTGTTGTAATCTATACAAACCCATGAAACTTAGCTCATCAATCACCCTGAATAAAATGGTATCCAAATGAGGGACCTAGGAACCAAGGAACCATCATTCAAGACATGACAGCCTTTATTCATCTACTTTATTTCAAGGCATTTGTAACTCTTGAAGAAAATAACAAGAATTTCATGTATCTTACTTCTTATGTTTTGCTTTGAAAGTCATTGACTACATTACTCACTCTAGTAAAACCATTCTCTCATTAGCATCACAAAATCTTACTTAAAATGGATTCTAAACTGACTTGCAGTATAATAAGAAACCTGACCAAACTGGCGACAAAACATTAGATTTATGCAGGGTTATGTTAAACAGTAAATATTGATGGGTGATATTGTTAGTAATGGGATTTTGAAACTGTAATAAAAGTTTTAAGACTGACAAGAAAGAAACCACACATATTTAATTTTAATGTATCAATGCTTCAACAAGCCCAGTGCACCAACATTAAATCCCAGACTCAAAGCCAGGAGAAGGGAGATAATTCAACAGTATTTGTTGGGAGGCTAACTATAGAATTTATAATTAGGGGGGAAGGGGCAAACACTATAGGAATTTAAATAGCATTTGTAGGTAACTTCAGAGTTCAACAGTAGATACAGTATTATCAGGTGACCTGTGCATTTCTGATACAACATAGCCTTCACTGTAAATGAATATCCTCACCTGAAGAGAGAAGGACTTATTGGTGTCAAACTCGATCAGAAGCACAGGTCTCTTGTAATGTCGAGACATTGAAACACACTGGTTGAACAGTCGGCCAGAATTCAATGAGCCGATAAGATCGCTGACACTCTTACGCTCCACACAAATATCTGGTGTTAAAATGTAGTCACCAACCTGAAAACATACGTAATCAATACTTATCAAAGCTTGTAAACTGGCATTCCTCCAACATTTCTGTTAATGTTTATCTAAATTCTGGATACCATATGAACACACCATTGGTTATTAATTGCACCAAATAATTTCAAGAAAATCTAACTACTGAGACAAACGAATGGACTAAACTCCTTGTCTTTTTTATTGCTGGGCACACAAAATCTTTAGAAATATGTCTAAACCAGATCCAAATGTTATTTGGTGTTTTTGCAAATATAAGTTTTCCATCTTGAAAATTGAAGTTTTTGACCACATGGAAAATTACTTAAAAACAAAAGAATGCATTAATACAAAAATTTGAAACCTGGAGCATTCAACAAGTGTCAAAATAACCAGTATTAGTTACCTCTATTGTAACAGGTTCAATGTCTATCCCTCGTCTGTGGATTAAGGATGGCAACTCACTTCGGAATTCTCTCATGTCTACAATTATCTGTCAAAATATTTCAATAATCTTATAGAAAGAAACTGGCATAATATTTCTACACTAGAATTAGGAAATACATGTAGTTAAGGTTGTCAATCTTATCAGTTTTAAAGCACTGTGTGGCAAAAAAATGATATTGTTTTACCTGGCTCTGAAGCATTTTATTTTTTATTTTAAAACACACACACGACCCAGCTTGCCATTGTTAGTGTTACCAGAACATGTAAGGCACAGGGACTTACCACGTATGTTTAGGTATTGTATTAAACATGCAATATGTCCAGGTGGTGACAAAATAAACTCAACATAGGGAGATTGGTTTTTATCAGGACAATGATCAGTGTTGCCTGACATGGCTTTTATAGTCATTCATTAATCAACAATCAAAATAGTAGCTGAATGAAGGAAACCCTAAACCTAAAACTGAAAAAACTCTGCCCATATTGAATCATGTGACTGGTTTTGAGAAAAACAAGATAACAAACTGGAAAGGAAGTGCAATTGATGATGTCTTTTTGTACAAGTCTGCTTACAAATAAACTGCAGACTATTGAAATAAATAAAATGTGGAGCAATATATTTACATATGATCATTAATTAGTGACCTGAGACATAATTCCCCAACATGCATGGGACATGAATATTTGCTGGTTTAGGGAGGGCTGGGTTTGTAGAAGTGAAATAAGTTGATCGGTTCAGACTAATAATTGAACTGATTCCATTCTGTACATTACACTACCCATTCGGCACCTAACTGCACATGTCCAACTGAATACAGAGAAAAAATAATATAGAGTGAAAATTTTTGTGAAAAAAAGTGATTCTTGTATTCTAAATGTGACTTTAGACGAAAAGAAACCTGCGCATTGCACGTCAATCTCGATAGTAATGTAAGGTTGGTCAAATTGTCCACAAATGTTACTCACCAATATATTTGATGAATTTGAGTTTTGTTGATAGTATAAAAACTCTTCTAAAACAACACTTGACTAATATTTCTATTCTGTATGTGTTAAACCAACATAAATCAATCACTCACAATTTAGATGCGAAACTGCAGCTTTCTAACTCTGTATCAGTACCCATTTTCACTTTAACTGTAGCTATTTCTTGCTTTGGTTCAATCTGTCACTGGAGATAAATTATGCTTACTATAATCCTCCCAATCAGGGTATGTATTGTACATAAAGCCAACGTGTGACAGGTTTACACGCTGGGGGCGGAAAGGTTACAACTGTCACCACAGATGTTCATTTCCTGTTCTGCTGGTTAGAACTCTGGTAAGGACTGATTTCAGAAGTGAGCTTCGGTATATTTCAATCATTTCGAACACAAAATCACATTTTCGTATTTGGAACTGAAAGGGATCAGTATTGGAAACGTTTTTATTACTATAATAAAAAGGATGTCATTTGGTACATCGCCACTCGCTTGATTTCAAGAGGTGATTGGTTTTGAGAAGGATACGAGTGAAGAAGTTGCACCATAGATATGGTAGAGCTGCTGAGGATGTGTTTGCATATGAAGTTTGATGGCTGTGAGACTAGAAATGTCTGACGAATGTTTAAAGTAAACAAAACAAATCAACCAACCTTCTGTTGCACAGGTGATGGTTTAGCTCCACCTTTTCGTGTGTTGACAGTTGCATTAGCAGGAGTTGTGTCCCTTGATAAATTAGGATCATCCTCCAATTTCCCATCTTGTTCCTCTGGTATAACCATGGTCTTGCAATGAAAATATTGTGAATGTTTCAGATCTTCAAAGATATTCCATTCTATTAAATGGAACAGATCAGAGATTATTTCACCATTTGATTTCAGTAACTGAACTGTAAGTTACTGATAAAACTTCCATCAAAGGTTCCATCTGTTAGCTGGGTATATCACCCCATGAACATCCGGGGTAATTTTGAGAGGGCTTTCCTTTTAGTGACTCGAGGTTACTTCATTGATCAACAAATAGGAGGACTGTAAATGCCATCCAGGTCAATTACAATAAAGTGTCTTGGCCAAGGACACAATATCAATACAGATCAGTTCATTTCTCCATGTTTTAAGGAACATGTCTACTAGCCTACTTCTATTCAAAATCACCTTATTAATACATATGTTCCTCTCTTTAAGATAGAAAGATAGAGGCGGTTATAAATTACTTTCAATTGATGACACCTTGTAATGTGACAGAAAACACTCCTAATCTACAGACAACTACACAACCAGCTAATCACCGACACAATGGGTGACTAAGTATCAATCATACAGTAAGTTTTACTCGCTTGCACTGAAGACTAAATGAATCTTACAGTTAATTACGTTTTGACGAAAGTGTTGACAACCAGGTAAGAGTTCAGACTAGAAACCACCAAGTTATGAAAATATTGTTCATTAGAATAAGATCTATGTGGATCTGGACAGAAATGTTCTGAAACCAATTCGAACTCAACAGATTGACTGGAGTGGCTACTGGCATAAAAACATTGACACAATAAATCAAAGGGATATTAGCATAAAACTGAGCATGACTATTTCCAGACATAGAGACAACTTTTACTCCAATGTCCGACAACATTGACAAGTATATGCGTGGAGACCAGTTCTTACTATGACTCACTGTCAGTACTCACTGCTTTCTCCTTGATGAGGAATTCAAAAGCCTCTTTCTCCTTCCTCAGTGTGGTGAGGTAGCGTTGCTCCTCAACAGACCCTGTATACATTAAGAAGTACACACGTAAAGGAACTCCTGGCTGGCTCGCTCTGAACACCTGTACATCAGTATATTGCATAAAACATTACTGCATATCAGATAAAGAATTGTTCACTCAAATATAAGGTTATTTTTACATAACAGGTAACTTTTTATGACCTGGACACTCAATAATGATAGCCTTTCAGGATTTATTACAATGGTCTCACTAAACATGTAATTTTCAACAAGATCATTCTATTACACTCAAATCATCAATATTCATGAGTTCATTTTGCTGATTTCATGAGTACTCTATACAAATTCAAATGTCAAAGAACTATTACAAGAGATCCCAAAGGGATCTTGATGGCCAACATTATAAAATCTTTATTTGCTCTTTAAAAAGGATCTTTTTCCTTCTTTTTTATTCTCTGCTTTTGTTCTTAATAACAAGAAATTTGAACACTCCTTTGCAGAAATAGCAATGATAATCTTTAACTGAAAAATTCAAGATGGTCGCTTGGACCCATTTTTTTTTTTTTTTTGTGATCAGACCCAAAATCGAACAGGAGCCACCAGGGACCAAGGGAGCCATACACTTGAAATTTGAGAAACTTCTATGCAGTAATTTTCTAGAAATAGCGAAAACAAACTTTCAAAGTCAAAATCCAAGTTGGTCACCTGTCAGTCATTTTGTTTTTCTGATCCCAAAATTACATGGCCAAAATTAGGGGCTTATAGGAACCAAGTGAAATTTGCGCAAGATCCACCCAGTACTATTCAAGAGAGAGCAATAACAAACATTGTTTACAGACAGATGACAAACCATAAACCTTTTTGAATAGCCCACAATAAAAATTTAGTGTAAGTTGCTTTAATGAGCTATATTTATACATAAAATCAAGTGTCTACGAGACAGTGATTTTCTGAAAAACAATGAAAACTGAACCCCACATAAATATATGATTCTACATTATTAGATTTGTCTTTAAAACAAGTTTCCCTTTCATTCCCATACCTCAAGCTCTCGTACAAACTGCATGTCTGCATCATAGAGGATGACATATCTGGGCTGGATCTCTTGTAAGGTCCGAGTGAGCCCTTTGTGGTCTGAGCCACCATGGAGGGGATGTATCACTGTAACTGGTTCCTTAATCAGACCGAAGTATGCATCCTGAGAGGTACAGGCAGCACCAGAAGGCTTGTTGTTGTCATCCTAAAAGATAGACATCAAGGTTGCTTGACTAAAGAAGAGGAGAAATCAACTGCATCAAAATATCTGAAATTCACTTTGATGTTTTTTCTTTTTTTTTTTCATTAATTCTGAAACCTAAACAGTACAAATGTTGGTTGGTCATAGGTTTAACATTGTCTTTCCCAGAAGAAATCCGATTTCAGCAGACATGAGGGGCTGGCCTGTATCCTCCATCTCTATTTGAGACTCAGAATCTGTCCATTTTGTATGATGCCAGAGTCTATCTAAGCAGTGGCCATCAGTCTGGTCTATCTAAGCAGTGGTCATCAGTCTGGTCTATCTAAGCAGTGGTCATCAGTCTGGTCTATCTAAGTAGTGGTCATCAGTCTGGTCTATCTAAGAAGTGGTCATCAGTCTGGTCTATCTAAGTAGTGGTCATCAGTCTGGTCTATCTAAGCATCAGTCTGGTCTATCTAAGCAGTGGTCATCAGTCTGGTCTATCTAAGTAGTGGTCATCAGTCTGGTCTATCTAAGTAGTGGTCATCAGTCTGGTCTATCTAAGTAGTGGTCATCAGTCTGGTCTATCTAAGCATCAGTCTGGTCTATCTAAGCAGTGGTCATCAGTCTGGTCTATCTAAGCAGTGGTCATCAGTCTGGTCTATCTAAGTAGTGGTCATCAGTCTGGTCTATCTAAGTAGTGGTCATCAGTCTGGTCTATCTAAGAAGTGGTCATCAGTCTGGTCTATCTAAGCAGTGGTCATCAGTCTGGTCTAAGTAGTGGTCATCAGTCTGGTCTATCTAAGCAGTGGTCATCAGTCTGGTCTATCTAAGCAGTGGTCATCAGTCTGGTCTATCTAAGCAGTGGTCATCAGTCTGGTCTATCTAAGCAGTGGTCATCAGTCTGGTCTATCTAAGCAGTGGTCATCAGTCTGGTCTATCTAAGCAGTGGTCATCAGTCTGGTCTATCTAAGCAGTGGTCATCAGTCTGGTCTATCTAAGTAGTGGTCATCAGTCTGGTCTATCTAAGCATCAGTCTGGTCTATCTAAGCAGTGGTCATCAGTCTGGTCTATCTAAGCAGTGGTCATCAGTCTGGTCTATCTAAGCAGTGGTCATCAGTCTGGTCTATCTAAGCAGTGGTCATCAGTCTGGTATCTAAGTAGTGGTCATCATCTAAGCAGTGGTCATCAGTCTATCTCAGTGGTCAGTCTGGTCTATCTAAAGCAGTGGTCATCAGTCTGGTCTATCTAAGTAGTGGTCATCAGTCTGGTCTATCTAAGCAGTGGTCATCAGTCTGGTCTAGTAGTCAGTCTGGTCTTTCTAAGCAGGGGTCATCAGTCTGGTCTATCTAGTGGTCATCAGCAGTGGTCTAGTCTGGTCATAAGCAGTGGTCATCAGTCTGGTCTATCTAAGTAGTGGTCATCAGTCTTGTCTATCTAAGTAGTGGTCTCAGTCTGGTCTATCTAAGCAGTGGTCATCAGTCTGGTCTATCTAAGTAGTGGTCATCAGTCTGGTCTATCTAAGCAGTGGTCATCAGTCTTGTCTATCTAAGCAGTGGTCATATCTGGTCTATCTAAGTCTGGTCATCAGTGTCTATCTAAGCAGTGGTCATCAGTCTGGTCTATCTAAGCAGTGGTCATCAGTCTGGTCTATCTAAGCAGTGGTCATCAGTCTGGTCTATCTAAGCAGTGGTCAATAGTCTGATTCAGTACTGTGAGTACCCTATTTTCTGAGTTATAACCCACAGCTTTTTCCCCTTGGTGGTTCAGCATGCAGCTTATATACCAGTGCGGCTTATACATGAATGAAAAAATATTGGCAGAATGTTAAAAAAAAAAAAAAAAAGAGAGAAATAAAAAATAAAGAGTATCGTCTGGACATCAAGTCTGGACTGTTATATATTTCAGAACTCCCAAGCCAAGCAAGCTTGATAATTGCTATTTAACATTTTTCAATTAAATAAAGGTTTATCTGTGTACAATTCCCTTGCAAAGTCATATCAAATGTTTCACTGATGCCTTTGATAAATTGCCTTCTGTTGTCTGTTTTATCAATGAACTTTGGTTGACAGTTTTCACATTGTAAGCTTATACTCGGGTGCGGGTGAAAATATGGTATTTGTGTACTACATCTTGCCATAGAGAAATTAACTCTGGCTGTCCAATAGGTAATTTTGAACACTAATGCCCCTTTTATTGCTAGCAGTGGTTGAATGAATATTTTGTATTTAATGTACACACTGTGAGGCTTTGCTTTACCCCACATAAACACTAAGTTGTGAATTACCAGATCTACATCCATGTCTTCCTTATGTAGCATCTGTGTGAGTGTAAGGCCAGCATCATTTGAGCTAGACTTCGATTTCTCCTGCTTTTTCCCTTGTACTTTAGCAAATCTATCAAACTTTACTTTCTTCTACAAAACAAATCCATGAAATAAACACTCATATCATGTAAAATTCTATAGCCTGATATAAACAACATAAAAATAAAATGATTTAGATGTTCAGGCAATTATCTTTGTAAAAGAATGTCATATGTAAAATATTCAAAATGTATTTACATGTACAGTGCAACTTCCCCAAACGTATCCCTCTCAAAACATCACCTCTTGAAGCCAAATGAAATGGTGATGTACGAAATGACATCCTCTTAATTATAGTAGTAATAACCTTTCCAATATCAATCCCTCTCAATTTCCGAATACCAACCAATTTTGTGTCCGAAATGATTGAAATATACTGAAAATCACTGAGAACTGGCCTGACATGAACGATCAACAGTTCTAACTCGCAGATCGTGAAATCAACACCTGTGGTGACAGTTGTAATCCTGGTGCCTAATGTGTATGCCTGTCAAGGGTAGGCTTTATATACAATACCTACTCTGATCATGGAGAGTTATAATATACATTATGTTATTTGTAATGACAAATTGAGGCCATGTCACATGCCATTTATTTGGACAAATGCAGTGGAAATGCTGAAAGTGACCAAAATAATTAATGGAATGTACAGGACGTAATTAATTGATATATCTGAGTCAAGACCTTTGCTTCACTTCTACAAACTGAACCCTCCATAAACTGACTAAATATTCATGTCCCATGCATGATCGGTTTGAAGAAGTTCCACTGTATCTACAAACTTGGCAAATGTTACCAAAACATTTTGACTGCCTATATTAAGTATTTACTTCATTAAACCCCTAAATGTTTACAGAATAAAATATAGAGACATCTCTTAAAAATAACTGGTAGTTTAAATACCAACATAGTATATTATGTACCTAAAATAAATTCCAAAAGATATTATAACAGGTTACAAGTTAATTTTGAAATTTTAATTTATACTAATGATGTCTGTTAAAGATCCCTGATCATGAACAAGTTTAAATATACTCTTTATAATCAAGGTCTGTTAGATTAATAATAAGACATTTTTAGGAGAATTTTCACTCACCAACTCATCCTCCAGCTGCTGACCTTTAATGGCCACTGACTTGTTGTATAAACGTACCAGCATGCTCTGCCCTCCCTCACAGAGATACTGAAATACAGAATACTCAAAGGTTTGAACGGATCTCCTGGAAATGTGCTCTTAAATCTGACTGACACAACAAAACTACATTAGACTGACCTTGCTTAAATGACTCATAAAAATGATCACTTGCTTCATGCAATACATCACATGGTCAATACTTTCACCTTATTTCAACCATGCCATACAGAGGCATGGAATTTCTGTATACTGTGATCTTTAAAATGACTTTCTCTTTTAAATGATCTTTAATTTTTCATACCTGTGCAATATTTCAATTAGTGGATTTCTACAATAAGTTCAATACTCTACGAAATATAGCATCTTCCATATGTTTTTGAACAGGCTAAAGCAGGCTATCTGTTACCTCTCTCAGTTGACTACAGGTGCGATCATCTTCAGCTGCAATGAGGACACGGCCAGGGTCCTGATCAGCTGCTCGCTGGTTGTTGTCCTCACGAATCTCCTTCAGAACATCAGTCAAAATCTTCCATTTAGGACAGAGCTCAAAGACAGGCTCTGGATCAGCTTTCAAAATAAATAATTTTGATTTATTTGGAAAGTTAAAAAGTAATTCTTAATCAACATAGCTAACATTTTTCTGGCTAAAATTCATTTTATTCATTCAACCACCTATTAGACTGGTTTTAAAAATTCGGAAAATCACTTCTTTTTCTTAAGATAAATATTTTCATAAATATCCACAAGGCACTTAATATGAGACTTTGAGAAAATTTATCTCTATTACAGTGTATTGGCATTTAACAGCATTTCGATCCAAAAAACTAGCATTTCACCACACTTTCCACATATTGACTCATTTTCAAGACTGTTTTCAGGTTAATGATGATTCCGCATCAAGACTTAAACACTCTAAACATTGGAATAAACAACATTTCAATGACTACATGGTCACCTTCATCAGACAAATAACCAGTGTAAAGTGTACTTGTACTGGCATACGTAGTGTACGAGATGGTAGGGAATCTACCAACTTTACATCATACTACAATCCTATGTACACTTAGATGTGCAAGAGTCATTTGTCTGATGAAGGTGAATGTGTTCCACTGGTATTGTTACAAAAACTTTATTCTGTTGACATTATCAATGTAAAGAAAATAAAGAAAATGTTCTGAAATACTCTAAGCATTACATTGTCCAGAACGGGTTCCTCAAAAATCTTACCTTTGGTTTCTCCGCCTTCTTTCTGTTTTCGATCTGATGGGCCATAAATTCTTTCACGAGCATGCTGTAAACATAAAAAGGAATTCAAAAGTTCTCATTTCCCAATATTAATTCAGTAGAACTAGAACCATCCATCCTAGTTCAAATCTTGACCGGCTCAATATATATCCAAACTGATTTTCAGATGGAAAGAATATTAATGTAATTTTTTTCTAACTCTGAAAATCTCACTTACCATAAAAAGACTATCAGCAGCCTCTAGAAACAGCCATCCTGTGTTTTGACCAAATGTCTTTTCACTGCTTCTGTAGGTGAAAGAAAGTCATTACAATATTCTGAGTATTTCTAAAATATTACAGTAATGTACGTATAATCCGTCTGCTACATTTGGCGAGGTTGTTTGCAACATGGCAAATGGAAAACTTGAGCGAATTGCTCCTCAATGTGGTACTATAACTCTCCTTGAAGAAGAAAAACTACATGTGTTAAAACAATACAGGTAGCTATCTTGATTTCCATTCAGGAAAGGTATTCAGTGTAGCCAATCCTCAGTCATCTAACATCTGATCCTAAACCCTTTAAGGTGACAAGAGATCAAACCTTATACCAGGGTAATCAGTTCTGTTATGTAGCTATCACATCTATATATATTTAGAATATGTTCTTTGTTATATTTAAACATTATTTTGACTACCAGAATCATTAGATCCAAAATTGATTGTGAATTGTTTTAGATACTGAAAACATGTCAATAAATATCAGATTATTTTAGCTTTACTCACAGTGTAAGCAAGTCCATTCTATGGCTAATGTCAGGTTGACCTAACAAAATCAGGTGAGTTGGCAACACTAGATATTCTAATATTGATCCAATGTACATTCAGCCTTTAAGTCAAAGTATTTGAATCCAAACCTAACAGTACACTATTTTTAAAACAAAAACTTAACATGTGTGAAAGAATGTCTTATAATCTTATACCTGACCGAGTTGACCATGCTGTAGAAGGTTACACAATCATACTGGGTCAGATGTCTGTAAAAAAGAAACAAAACCTCCTTAATTTGTATTTTCAATAAAATTCCATTTGATAGAACTTATCACTGAAGAATGCTTGGATACCACATTTAGCACATCCAGTTTTTCGAAAAATCAAAGTTGACCATGGTTCAAATTTTGTGACATTTTTACCTAAGACAAATAAACTTTTGGTAGCTTTTTAATTTTTTTTCTAAACATCTTTGAAATTGTTTGTATGGATACTAAAAATTTTCATATTGGAGTTAACTCATTAAACTACAAGAGGCCCAATGGGCCTCCATCGCTCACCAAGTATTCAATGTTCATCAAAAACAGAATCATTGTTTATCACAAATACATCTACTTTAACACATACACCATTGGCATTCAAAGTGGGTACATCAAATCAATTTTAACCAATTTCCACAACAAAGAGCTTCTAATACTTAACTCTCAACCGTGACAGTTATGACCTTGATTATAGGTAAATGTCATTTTTTTCCTCAAAATTTGTCAGGCTTTGACCTAGAAACATCTTTCCACCAAATATCCTGCTTATCAAACTTTCAGTTTACCAGAAAAAGTCTTTCATAGGTTTTGACAACTTGACCCCTGTAACCTAGAATAAGGGCAAAGGTCATTTTTTCCCCAAAGTTTGTTGGGTTTCTTCTCAGGAACCTATCAGCCAAATACCATGCTTCTGTGCCTTTTGCTTAAACAAAAGAAGTTGTTTCAATGTTTCAACAAATTTGACCCCCGTGACCTTGAATAAGGGTCAAGGGCCAGGTGAGCTAAAAATGGAAGGTGAAGTCATCATACTGTGGTAATACATTAGCAAGTTACCACAGGCCACCTAACCACTAAATGTTACACATGTATATGACATTACCTGAGGATAAGCCGTAGAGTTTTGAGATCAGATACAAGTTGTCTGGTTTTAGGTCCTATCTGATGCCATATGGGATCAAGTTGCATGCGAATGATTGTATCAAAAGCCTTGCCTATAGAATTTTCCACAGTGATCTCATCTGCATCAATCTAGAAAGAGAGTTCAATTGATACAAGCCATATGAACTGCTATACAAAATTTACAGTACACTTCTTTAGGACAAAACTAGTTCAACTTTGCCAGTAGTGTTACTTGATTTAGACAAAAAATAGATAATCATGATTGCAGTTTGTTCTACTGATCAATGACAATGCTTATTAAGGTACCATAGATTATCAAATCATATCAATGTGTGCTTTTAAAACATGTACTTTCTCCCACATTGTCATATAATAAATCAGTCAACGAGTAGTCTATTATGTTATAGGAGAAACGCGTACCTCAAACGTTTTATTTATAACTTGTCAAAATCCTTTTTGAAGTGCATTGTTTAACTTTCAGAAGAAACCTGTGGACCTCCACACTAAATTAATGATATCACAATGATAACACAAAAAACTTTTTGAAAAACATTTTGGTCAACTGGCTTTTAGGAGGGTTTTTAATTCAGTTTTTAAAAAAAAGTTCTTATTTGAAGTACCCCATCAGCATTATACATACAGCTGTTGTGCATCTCTTAAGCTCCTGTATACAGGCATTGATAAGGTCGAGTACTGCTGTCTGACAAGCCAGCATAGCAGATGTCAGCTGGACATGAATCTCCACAACATCTACCTGTAAGATACAGACTGTATTGGTCACATAAGTCACACGATATCAAACGAACACATATACCCTGGTATCTATATGTAAATCATATAATAACAATCTGTCATACCTGTACATCTATATACAGAATCAAATGAGGTAGATACCTACTTAAATCATTTCTGTTGTTTTCAGTATGGTTATACATGTAACCATATCATTTTCATTGCAAAATTAAGATATTACATCAAACAAGTTATATTATGTATCAACCTTGCAATGTACATGGTATCATTTTAGGCAATCAGATATCAAGAAAATAATGACAAGTAAAGTTATAAAGCATTTTAGAACAAAAAAACAAGGGTCACATTCATGTAAGTAGTTGAAACTGTTAGAATGATTGAACCTTCAAGAGAAACTCTAGGCATAGATCAGGACTGAGGCTCGACTGAAGAATATTTAGCACATGCAGTTTGTGAGGTCCAGCTGTATATCTGTCTAAAACTAATTGCCTGAATATTATATTTAGGAATTTCTGTGTAAAGTAAGGTTGGTGAATACACAGATTACCAGAAATGTTATGATATCCAGGACAAGTTAAAATGGAAGATATTTCATTGTTGTTTTGTATTACACAGCAAAATTCCAAAACTGTGCATTTTGAGCTGAACATGTAACATTTCCAAAATTCAGCACAGATGTGTTTATTTATAATGGAATAATTCTCTGCTACCTGAACTGTTTCAACCAGGACAAAGACTTGACATGAATTTGAAACCACAGCTAGTTCTTACAACCAGGACAAAGACTTGACATGAATTTGAAATCATAGTTAGTTCTTAAAATACATATATACAGATTGTGGTGTTGGGAAAATCTGCAGTCCGTAATGAACTTCAGTATTAAGGTGGTCAAGTGGCGTAGTGGTAAAATACTTCCTTTTCACCTTAGCGACCAGAATTTGATTCTCTGATCAGATGTGAAAGGTATGAGGTCACCAGCCCAACAACATAGGTTTTCCCTAGGTACACCATTTTTCTCCCATAGTAAGATCCCTCACACCCTTCTGTCCCTACCTACAATAGTGGTTATCATATGCTGATATCTTGTTCCATAATTTTTGTAAAATAGATAAAGTTTATAACTATAAACTTTAATCTTTAATGCTGAACAGTGTTCAATGCCTGAAAACAAAACATGGAAAACAAAATTAGTAAATTCAAATTGAAAACTCAGTATCTGCATCACTACCTTATGTTTCTCCAAGGAGGTCATCACATTAGCATGGAACCGCGGCCACAGGAACAATTTGCGGACAAACAGGTTCTTCATGATTCTCTCCACATGAGCAAATCCCACAGTAAATGCACAAGCATTGTCGGTGAAAGCCTTAATAAACCCATTCTGTGAATTGCAAAAGAGCCTTTCAATGGATGTTTGACCACAGGTTAATCCAAAAAGGATTGTTACTCGTTACTTTGGTAATTTCATTTCCTATTCAATTATGGTGTATTATGACCATCAAATATGCATAACAATATTTACCTTGTTCTTTTGTCTGAAAAGTCGTAGGATGAATGCCTCTTGTCCAGATTCAATTATTCTGTAAAATGGCACAGATATTTTATACCACTACCATAAATATCAGAATGTACATTAATATCAGCATGGATACCTCATGTCAATACCGTACATACTAGAATGGATATTCTGTAACATAAAACACAATAGATTTTCTCTTAGACACCCATCTAATCCAATTAAATATTAATTTTCAATTGGAATACTTTGTAACCCCAATGAATACTATAGGCCATGATGTTTTCACCCAAGAAATTTTAATCCTCTTATCTTGTCCAGCTGTGCTGCCCAACACTCTTGCAAAGATGATTCTAATTACTTTAACTAAAATTTCAACTTTAAAATTAATATTTCAACTGTCCTACCTGTGAGCTTTATAGACCAAAACTCCAGTGACATGATCCAAGGGCACTCGGTCTGTGAGAAGGTCGACCACCAGGATCCGTGATGTAATGAAAAACACGCCCCCCTTCAGGTACACATTCTGTCTGTGGAAAATGATATCAATTCACGATTTTTTACTTGCTTTTAACAAACATATAAATTAAACCTAAGCAGAAAGATGGAGAACAAAGGTAATATTCTACAATGCATCATCATGAGTATAAAAGCATGTTCTATGGATTTAAAGACACATGACAGACTTGTAATATTGCTTTAATGATCAATTTGAAAGTAAATTTAAATTAGACAAGAAGTTTAGTCTGAGGACAAAATTAATGATCGCTATATATCATTGTAATTAAGGCTATAGATACCATCACCAAAAACTGATCAAAAATTAATATCTAAGATATTTTCCTAGTGAGAACTAGTTCAAATACACAAGAAAACCTCTGAATACACAGTTGATTCAAGCTTGCACATAAAAAACTTTACTACCATATGCCTCATGATCATCATTGAAGAAAAAGTTTGTACCTTTCAGTTGAACTGATTTCATTGGTAATCACTTTCGGTAATGGTTTCACGTTGTCATTTTCTAGTTGTTCAAGGAAATACTCCTGAAAATAAACTCTTGTTTTAATACTTATTATCAATAAAGATACACAACAACTCAGGAAAAAAGTTACATTGAATTATAGTCCAATAACCATCACCAAAATAAAAAGAGAAAATAAAAAACCAAGCTTCAATTCTTGATGATTTGATACTGACAGGTTAAATTAATTTTATATTTTATCATTTATCAAGCATGGTCTAATTAAATTCTTTATTTGCTATACTTGCTTTTATTTTGTCAAAAGTTCCAAAATATTGCTAAAGCTCCTAGCTTTTTTCATACCTTTTGAAAAAATATGGCATGCATTGGCTTTCAAGAAACTTCCAAATTTGAGAATAAATAATCACTTCAGCACTCAGTCTTAAATTTGAAATAATTGTTCGGTAACTCTAACTTAAAGACAACTTGGTGCCCTTACAGTAATTGATCTTTTCCTAGTTTTAACAGAAGTGTCCTACATCGTACTCACTTCCTCTGTTGAAGATGTGCCGATAACAAACACTATGTTTGACTCGTCACAGTAAACTTTAAGGAAATTCAAGAATATCCTATCAACGCCAAGACCCCTGTGTTAAGGAAACAAACGAGAAAGTCAACATTTTAAATCCCTTTGTCAATATAAGTAACATATATCAGTAATAGACATTGTTTACATTTAAAATCACTATATCATTAGTACATACAAGTTATAGTTCATCATTATCAGATCATGACCACTCTGAGGTCAATCTGTTGCTTCTTCTTATATACCAGTTTTTGAGACCCTTAATATTCAGGGACAGTGGATCTTCATTTGTAGTTGCTTCAGCTTATATCAAATGACAAAAAAAATGGAGCATGAACATCTGAAACCAATCAATTTACTTGACTTGTCCCTTCATTTTTGCCATGACATGTTCCAGGGGTGCAGAGAATGACAGTGATTGTAAATCTTTGAGTATTGAGGATGGATTATATTGTTTATTTCAACCTGATGGTTGTGACTTTAAAAATCATTGTCACTAGTACTGATTCTTAAAATCATCCATGTTATGAAATTACTTGATGTTAAGTGCCATATGCATTCATTGTTAAGCATGGCAAATGTCTCATTTTATTAAATATCCAAGATGGCCACCAGCGGCTATTTTGTAGTTTCCATTTGACCTTTGAAAACTGTTTATAAAATACTGAAGAGGTTTTCTTGAAATTAAAAAGGAAAATGTACAACATAGGTCCTTGTTACAATAGATAAGATATTCAAGATGTCATTGTATTGAATAAAACAATGAATTACCAAAAAAAATTCAATTACCAAAAAAAAAAAAAATTCAAGATGGCTGCCAGTCGCCAATTTGGAATTTGACACGATTCATTCATTATAATACCACTACAACTGTCACTTTTACTTATTCCACACACAAAAAAAATATCTATAAAATCAATGATGATACTATGATGTGATTTCTAATTATTACTGTATAGTCTCAACATCAGTTACAGACTGTTATGTATTTTGGAACTGCTATTTTGTCAAAGCCATATCACATGACTTCATATCCTGATAATTTTCGTTGCTGTAACATGTCACTCTTCCAGATAGAATGAAAATTTGTGTTTTAAACCATTCCCCATAAAGTATTAAGAGCATATATTTCATTGGCAAATTTGTGTAGTTTTTCTTAAAACACATTTTTACATGTCAAACTTCCTCTCAGATATGAAGAAATGACATTTCAATTCATCCTCGAATGCCAATGTTTTGCTGTCGTCCATCATGTGAATAAAAATCATCCATGAATAATAGGCCATGCTTGCTTGCAATTTTTTGACTACAAAAGTTCAAACATGCATGCCTTAAAATGATGATTTTTAAAATATCACATTGGATGACTCATTTCTGATTTTATTTTGGCTAGCTAGTTGAAGACCGAGAGATGAAAAAATAACTTTATTTAGATACTTTATGTTATAAAAAAGTTACCAAGAAAACGGATCGCTTGAAAAAAAAGGACTAAAGAATAAAAAAATGAATTTAATCCTCTAGGAAAGGTATACACATCAACGATATCCACCACTTTCGCACCAAAATATTTGATTTTTTTCTTTTTGTCATCACAATCATCGACAATCACATGTCCGATACACATGTCAATCATTAATTCAGGTGAGCGAATTTGAAGTCGAATCCGTGGATATTTTTTCAATACTTGTCTTTCACCGGTCAGTTTTCAAATCAATCTTACAGTATGAAAACATTTCAAGTAATTTATGTATTTGTTTGGTGGTAATTAATCGACAAATCATAGCTGGCAAAAATTATGATTACTTTGCAAGAATTGTCAATCCATCCTCGTGATATCCATCAAGGAATATCTGGTTTTCGTACTCCAAAAGACCCATTCTCATCCGCTTCTAACCTAGTCAGCATTGTTTCATGGAGGCCGCCATTTTCATATGGATTAAAAGAAGATGTAGTCGATAAATTCATAAATAGATTTTGATTACACTTGTCGCACAATGATCTTAATTTCTATATTAAACTTATTCATTTCATCTTACTTAATTGATTTTTTGCTTTAATGTTTTATTGGAATGTGTATCTTGTAAGCATCGAAAACGTTATTGACTACAGATACCTTCTTACGCGGTAAAAACCTCATTCTGTTAACAACATAGGGGAGATTGCACAAACAGTCTGTTACTTGCATGTAAGTATGTTTAGTATTGTTTTTGACATTTAATACCAGGTGTTCCCTTGTACTGAACCACAGTCTTATTAAGAATGATGAGACTCGTAGTAAAGTAGTTTTATTGTCGTATATGTTCGGAAGGAAACTATACAAAATGTTTTGTATATTTTTTTCGCTGCAGGCCACGTTTCATGTTACCAGTTTTGACGGAGCCTATTTGGTCAATAACATGTATTGTCTCTCTTATATCAGACTTACTAATCCGCTTATAACAAAATTCGACTGAACAGTTTAAACTTTAAAAAATACGTGAAACTGAAAGTATAAGACAGAAATGGATTGTGCCCAGGCTTTGAACTTGTGATTTTACTTGTGGCACTTAAATTCTCTGGAATGGCGAGATACACCAATATAGGCTTGTTGCCGTGATCAGTTATTTGGTTTTTATGAATAGTTCAAGGGTGCTTTTGTGTAAGTGGTTAAACCATTTGGATCGTTGAATCTGTTAGAAAAACGCCAGGTACAGATTGGGACTGAGGAGACTGGATTGTGAAATCTTTGGCACATTCAGTTTGAAGGATCCAGTGGTATCTGTTCGAAACTAATGTACAGAATATCATTAGTTTTCAGAAAATCAGCATTAAAAGTAGGGTCTGTGCACTCACATATTTCTTGGAGCATTCTGCTATGAGTGAAATGGATGGTATCTTAATTTTAATTAATTGATTTATGCTTGACAGGAAATTCCAAAACAGTGATTTTTAACTTTACACATGCTGGTATCATTATCTGGGACAAACATTCGCTTATGTTGAAATAATTGAAGACCACCTGAATCATTTCAACTGGGTTAGGCAAATGTAGCCTAAATGTACTTTATCGCGAGAATGAGTAAAAAAACCTCTCTTGCAGGAGTCGTTAGAGCCTCAATAAGTCAAGGAAATTAAAATGCTATTCATTAAACCCACTTAATATGTGGCCCGACTTGTCCTGATTACATTTCCAAGGTCACAGCATTACCTTTGTGAACATACTCAATACTAACAGATTTCCTGAATGTGTTCAAAAAAGGTAATAGGACTACAGACTTATCTCTGGTGGTGTCCTAGGATCTCTGGAGAACATCATCTGTCAACATCTCAAGAGGAATTTAATATCATCCATACAGGACTGACTCAACTCCAGTTTCTGGAATGTATAGTCTAGTGAATGCTTTTGACCATCGATAATCTACTTGAGTCACATCATGCCAATCAGCAAGTTGGCTGTGTCGTGTTAGACTTCTCCAATGTATTTGACACAGTGCCCATTCTGTCCACATATGTTCATGTATATTTAACCATTAAGACAAAGAAACAGGAAGTACAGTCAGTATCAGAAATTTGTATGCCAGATGCAGTTGAATTTTTTTAATGTCTGACAATATTGAGACACAAAGAACTGTGTGTATGATTTCTGCATTTTTTAAGCTCTGAAGTGCATTTATTTGTAAAGGACATATTAAACTTTCAAACCAATGTATTTCAAATTCTTTAGCCCGTCATCATCAGATGGTAGGCTTTTCAAATCTCCCTACATCTGTGGTCCGTCGTCCGTCCGTCTGTACAAAATATTTGTTATCGCAATTTCTTTAGAAGTACTAGATGGATCTCAAAATTCATATGTAGGTTCCCCTTGTGCCTGTTTAATTTTGGTACTGATCAGCAAAACAAAATGGCTAACAGGTGGCCATCTTGGATATTTTCATTGAAGATTGTTATCTTTATTTCTTAAGAAGTACTGAATGGATCTCTCTCAAATTTCATATGTAGTTTCCACTTGGTCCCTAGTGCCCATTTGATTTTGGGACTGAACAGAAAAGAGAAAAGGGAAAAGATACAAAGTTCAAAGACCAAATAAAAATTAAAGAATGGTTTTACCAACATCCCTCTGGGATCTCTTAACAGGATATTTTTGTTGTGTCTACTGTGAACACCATGATCAACACCTCACATTTGCATAGATCTAGAATGCATCTCTTTTCCTATGAGAAAAAATGTGTAACAAGTAGATTCAAATTTCCGTTTTATGCAAACTTCATTTTGATATTGTATATGTAGCAACCATTGAATGAAATGATAGACAAATGATTTCATAATATTACCAGGGAAGTATTGCAAGTTTGATTAATAGTTTTGAATTTTGATTAACATCAATGAATTTCAGGCCAAAAATAGCCCACACCATTCATTGTCCTCCATAATATGTTTTGCTGATTTTTGTGCATCATAAATACTCCAAGGGTTAAAATAACTTTTGCCCCCTGCACCCCTGGAACTTTTTCTGGTAAAATTGAAGGTACAGGCAAAGTAATTTGATTGGTCTATAGCAAGTTTTAGGAGAAAAATCTGACCAATCACAGACAGATATGCTACTTTTAAGATTACAGAGAAGCAAAGCCCAGCTTCAAAGCCAGTGCAATAAACAGTCATGTGACAGCGAGATTCGCTTGATGTACATCAATGAATCAAACTTGTCTTTTTTGCTTTATCCACAAGGTTTCACAGATGGACCTTCTGTTTTGCCATGTTTCAGGGGTGCAGAGAGCGATACTTAGCGTAACCAATGTGCATTTTTTGTATTGATGACATTGTTCTTTTTTTTTCCAGAACTAAAGACTATTTTGAGTATCAATAATGGGAAGAAGGAAGAAGGCAAACAAGCCTCCCCCAAAGAGGAAGGCTATAGAACCACTAGCTACCTTGTTCAACTGTCCATTCTGTAACCACGAAAAGTCATGTGAGGTCAAACTGTAAGTGTTACACGTATACGCTCTCGACAGGCACTCTAACAGTTTTAAAATTTGACTAAGCCATCTTCAAGTACCAAACTAATGACAACATATTTTGTCATGCTTGGAAAACTGATCAGAGATTGATCACTTAGGTCCTCTTCTCCCAAGTCAAAAGTCCAGAGTTTGTAAAAACACTATACAGTGTATATACAACACTGAAAGGAATAATCATTGATAGATCTAAAAGAAACAATTGAATTGAATAGGTACTACCTACAGTATGTTGTAAGTGCACAAGCATAATTAGCATCAAATTTAATTCTGGTTTAGGGAATAAAATACTGGAAACCAGAAATTAAAAGCAAATATGGAAATATCTAACTGAAGATAGGGTTTTTTCCATTTTTTTTTTTCGTTCAAAGAAAATGAAATGGTATCATATTTGTCATTTTATTTCTACACTCGTTAATCCAAATCCAAACATCATGGGGAAAAAAAGTTCACTTTCCTTTGGTATTTGTTTTCTAACTTTTTATCAAATTACAATATATTTCCTAGTTTTGTATGCACCTCTGTGTTCCAGCGACCGGGAGAGAAACACTGGCTTTGTCACCTGTAATGTATGTCTAGAGGACTTTCAGACAAATATCAACTGTATCCTTTTTTCATTACTTAATTCTTATTGAGAATAAAATTAATCTGAATTATCTTGACATTATATTAGTGATGAAAAATCTTAAAACCCTATGGATAATAGTTAAAATCAGAGTCATTTTGGTTAAGTTGATCAATTACATAATTGGCTATGTGTTCAATAGTCATAGAAAGTGAAAGCATTCTTCGTTGCAACCATATTTTCTTTGTTTTTATGACTTTAATCTAATAAACCTCACCTACCTAGAATTTGTATAAGAGTGTAAAAGGCAGTTTGAATCTTTATCATGCTTATTATATAAATTTTGGTTTTGAGAATACCCAAAAAAATACAAAGGTGCAGATGATCGATTATGAAAAATTACAATTGATCATCACATCAGATGAGTTGAAACGATTATACAATCAATTCTATCCTATCATCGACCCATCAGTATGTTATATCAGCGGTTATACTAGGGCTGATTGATAAGTTGTTAGCCTAGTATTGAAGAAGTTAAACAGGGATGTCCTTTGTCAGCTCTACTTTTCCCTGACTATTTAAAGGTCACTAACAGTGAAAATAAAAAGTTAATTTTTCATGAAAAATCATGAGATAGTGTCTGAAAGAAGAGATCAGTGTATTGCAGGATATATAGGTAACTCCGGAAACTGATGGTGTGTTGTTCCACCGGGACAATGCCCCCGGTTTACAAGTCTGTAATTGCCATGGCTGCCATTAATGATTGTGGTTTTGAATTGATATAGCATCTGTGTTATTCACCTGATCTCACTTCATCAGACTTTCATCCATTCCCAAAATTGAAAAAGGCCATTTCCGGTACCCACTTTCAGTCAGATGATGATGTCGTACATGCTTTGGAGGACTTTCAGAAGGGTCAGTGGGTCAACCAAAGTCTGCCAAAAATCAAACCCTTAAATATGAAGCTCAAAAATTATCAGTCACCCCTTGTACATTGGTCTGTAGTCAATGAACTCCAGGCCGATATTAAAAAGTTGATATAATGTCAGAATAATTTTGACTAGAATGCAATACATTCATGAGCATTCCTTGATCGTTATGGTACAGATCTTTGTCACAATATCATTATAGACTGGTGGAATATTTTACTGGTATTTACAACATGATGTTTTAAATTTTGTGCATAAAAGTCAATGTCACTTAAGAAAAGTGACAGATTTCTAGCAATGTGTGGGGTTTGGGGAGGATAATTTATGAGAATATTGATATTTTACCTAATTTTATGAATGAACCTTTTGCAGATGGCACTGATTCTGTATATTCTCTTCTTTTCTTT